ATTAGCCTTAATAAAGGCCTTATTTTTTAAGCTAGTTTATATTATAATATACTATTAAGCAATGCCTTTAAAGGCACTAAAGTTAATAAGGAAATTATAAATATAGTCTTAAGCCTTTTAGCTTATTAAGTTATTACTAATAATAGTTTAATTTACTATAATTAATATATTATTTATAGAGTTATATTATAATATATATATAAAGATATAAACTTAAGGTTATATTCCTTTATATATTTCTTAGTCTTTTCCCTTTATAATGCCCTAAGGCTTATAATAAGATTTATTAGTTATTATAAAAGCTTATAGGTAAAAGCTTATATTAGGGAAAAAAATATTATGTTATTATTTATTATCTGTATTTATAGCCTAAAGCTTAACCTTATAGGCCGCAGTTATCCTATAGTAGACTCGGTAGTTGTACCTTGGGTCGTTGGAATAGTCGTGGGGGAGTCCGTAGTAGTAGTACCAGTTACAACAGTATCGGTGGTGCCGTCGGTAGTAAGCTCGGTCGTCGGATTCGCGTCAGTAGTACCAGTCGTGATACCCTCCGTCACAGATGAAGTGACTTCTCCTACACCAGAAGATTCAGAAGTGGCAGTACGGGTAGTAGTTGAGACGTCAATTGACACAGTCGAAGAGGGAATGCTGGCGTCGGCAGATGAGGAGACAGATGCCCTGGAACTCACAGGCTTGCATGGCCCAGCAAAGGCTGTAGCAACCGCGGCCGCAGCGAGAAACACGCTGTGAAACAACATCACAAAACGAAAGACAGATAAACGAGTGACTGCACGAAAAAGAGTCAAAATGCGACGGAAATCCTTAAGTAAACATGGAGAGAAGCCAGTTTATACCCATCCTGTCTGCTCCATAGATTCTACACTAATTCCGAATGGCAGGCCTTTTCCGATACTCCGTACTGAACTTTCAGCCACATGGGGAGTTTTTGTGTTGGTGGCTTCTGTGCTGTTCTAAATGACAAGTCTATAGCGTTTAAACTATTGGCAATAGTGCTGGAGACATGGCGTGTTGTAGGGGTACCTGTGTTAGTGCGACCATGGGTTTAGACCCTGTCGATCAATGACATTGGCGGGCTTCCATAGCTCTTTGCAATGACCAGCTCATTTCCAATGCATAGAGTTGCTACAAAACAAGTGTGACTGCTCTGTCCAATTTGGATCTCACAGGGCTACGTTTCTGACCACTTGTCTGTCGCCGGAGTTTTGATACTACCCAACTATAGTTATCAGAGCTACGGAGTAGTTGACTGGTGATTTTGGCTCGTTCAGCTCGTTCAGGTCTCGCATCGACCCCTGGGAATCCTGGGATGTTTTCCCAATACAAAGTAGTCAGTGGAGCTGCCATGATTCAATGGCAAGCCTGAGCCATGGACTAAAGCAGGGATTGGCGATGACAGAAGCAAGGGTAAGCGAAGAAGGAGCAAATGGCGATTCGTCGGGAAGCAGTTGACAGGGGCAAATTTCATCGGGCGAGAGTAGATGAGAAAGGGGAGCATAAAGCACCAATACTTCCGCTTACCTGAGCCAATCAAAGCTCAACTCGGAACCAACAACCAACAACAACGGACCGGTCTAGAACCCACCCGCTCATGCTCAGCCAGCCACATAAAAGTTGGAAGGGGGACTACTTGTCAACCGACCATCACAGGGGGAACTTCCACATCTTACCTTCCCATTGCTATTTAAATACAAAGATTTAAATACTTGACAAATAAATATTCAAAATAAAAAATGTAAATAAATTGAGAATAAACTTTTTAATATGTCAATACAAGGAAAGAAGGTATATAAGTCACATGCTGCTTCGCACTGGTCAAATAATTAGGCGGGTTCAATAGTAGGTTGAACTACATTCTCGCTGTTGGGAGAGTAATGCGTAGGCGAAGCTGACATATCAGTTAGACGAAAGCAACAAGTCTTCTAGAATTAAGTGAATCGCTTTGAAGGGATTATTATAAATAAAGTCTTTATAATTAATTGTTCTTTAAAGACCAATGGTGCTCAATCGGACCGACCTAAATAGGATTAGGGCATCACAGCAGAGTCAAGTTGAGAAAAGAAAAGGGGAGCAGCGTATTATGTAGTAAGGGATGGATATCAGAAGACCCATGGAGTGTCATTGTTCCATTTTGCCCGGCACGTGAGTGACCCGGCTCGTTTCACGATTAGCTGTAGGTCAGTTCTCTAGATCAAAACAGTAGACTGCCCTGCATGCCAGCTGGTATATCCACGGAACTTTACGATGCGAGAAAGTCTCGCGCCAATGCATACCGAGAGTCTCTTAGCCAGTTGAAGATAGAGAAAAGTACACGCTGTTCAGTGTTTAACTCTCGATTCTCAGAACCGTCACCGGGTTGTCGCAACCTGCCAATGGCTCTCCTGTGCTAGGTCATCATCATGCCTAGCTTCAATTCTCACCAGAATGCTTGCAGTTCTTCCAAGAGACTCAAACCGCAGGCTTCGTAGTTAATTCTATCCTGAGAGTTTTCCAAGCCTGATGGCTGCATTGCCTAATCAAAGATCCGGCGCTGAAACATTTGCCCCAGTGGCGTCCAACCCTCCGTTAAGCGACGGAGATCATCCCCAAACCACCCCTCAGGGAGCAAGAAAGGTTCTACGTGTTATAAGATCAGGGTGCTAAAATAAACTGTTCTCAAGTACTCAGTATGATATACTAAGTTTACCTAGATCTTTTTATCACTTAGTTCAAAAGCCCCAACTTTTCTTGCCTCCTCTCGCCACAGATCCAGATTCCCAAGTCACGCGCGACATAGCCCAATCGGAGCAGCCATGTTCCCGATTGTACCCAAAGCCAAGAAATGGCTGACCGAGCTGAAAAGATCAGAAGCTGTATCGGGATAAGCAGCGCTTGGCTGTACTACCAGAATAAGCTTAAAATAAAGAAATGGCGTTAGCTAGACTGGGCGATTCAGCCTCACGCATGCCATTGGGTTTGCCCTCGAGAAAAGCTGGGTTTATATCCTAGTCCCTCCCCCCAGTGCATGAATTCCTCACACACTTTACATAAAAGTTCTTGTAGGATCGAAGGGAAAGGGAGTTATCATGGCGCAGTATAGCCAAGTCCACCAGGGCGTCTACGAGATGGGACTACACGGGTCCTCGACGTATCATTCAACTTCAAACCCTAATGATCCGTCTAGCTACGCTTACTTCGCCACCGGAAAACCTGCATCATATCCAACGAACATCGAGTTCGAAGACAGCCAACGCCTCATACACCAAAATGCCCCAACAGCCTTCCAACGACCAGTGCAGCGCCAGCCTCTGCGAAGAAGACTTGGTAAAACTGGAATGACCATCATCATACTCGGAACAATCGTGATTATCGCCTCATGCACTCTCCTCGTCTATCTCTGGCAAGGCGCCGAAAAAGCACGCAACAGACAGCCCCGAGGCAAAGAATGGGACAGAATCATCTTTGACAACTACGCAGCGCAAGTAGCTACGCTTTGCTCCGCTGCAATCCGAGTGTCGATGGATCTCCAGACTTGTCTCGCTGCTGCGTCAATGGCAGCCATTGTCCTTGAAACCGCCGGCTGTCGAATCTCTGATCTGGCGAGATTGTCCATCTCCAGAGCCTCTAGTTGTGATGCAAGCCCTTGGGATATCTTCCTTATCACGAAAAGCAACAGGAAGACCTTGCTCCACTGTATCATCTTACTCTTTAGTTTCTTGCTAAGTCTTGCCATGACCTTTACGTCGACCGTCTTGCTTTTCGATTTCAAGGCGCTTCCAATCGCTGCACCGATGGTCTCAGAGTCTATTTATGTTGGGTTTGATATATCCAAGGATACAGCTGTGTTCTCTGGTGTATCTTACTGGCAGTCCAAACCGTCAGCGCACTGGCGATTTGCAGAGACGCGGCCTTCAAGCCAGAGACTTGCGCCCAAGGATGTAGCAGACACGGGAGATGTTTATCGAGCGATGATACCGATGGCCAATGTTGATAATCGAACTTCATTGGAGTATTATTCTGGACCTACGGTTGTCACCAACATGAGGACAGCATGTGTAGCACCGACTTTCAACAATGCTACATTCGAGTATATATATACCGGAAGCAACGCTACAGAAGGTCTTTATCTCCTCGCAGAATTCAACGCCTCGACCGGTTGGGAGTTGGGACCTAGCATAAACGGTTCATATCCAGCGACACTATCGTGTCGTATCAACAACGAATGGGACCAAACGAACTCAACATCCTGGCCAATATCATTCTGCAGTTTCGATATAAAAGAACTCGCCCCCAAGAACAACAGTTTTACAAACCCGCTTTCTCGCCATCCGTACAACTTTCATGCGGTACTTCTTCTCAACGCGAGCGATAGTCTGACCCAGCTGAGGCCCATGTATGACATGGCTACAAACACGTGGTCGAACGTTAAGATTCCGGAGGATATGCAAATGGCAAAGTCGACGAGCAAAGGTCCATGGACGACAGCGACGAATAAAAACAACATCCAGCTCTTCCAAGCGAGTGTTTGCTTCCTGACTCAGAACACACCCTTTCTGTACAACGTCACGATGACAGGCCGAGCCATACCATCCGAACCAACATCGATTGCAAAGTGGAAAACACTACAGGGCAAGAATGGCACCGAATTTCTCAAACAACTAGGCGTAGGCGTATCGCCCTCAGATACTGAAGCAAGAGGCATTCTCGATCTGAAGGTACTCTCTGGGCCAGCTTCTATGGCAGATACAGGGGTTGATGACTGGGATGAATGGGTCTACCAAATGATTCACTTCAGCCTTTTCGACTACAGTATCTCTGGTGGATGGACGTTCAACAACGATGCTTTGCAAGGATGGTTTGATACAGTAGCGAATTGGCCCGCACACCCTGAGCATTCGCATCTCTTCCAGAGTGTTCTCCAAGAAACGGATGATCCAGCACGAGCGGTTCAGGAGTTGTTCTTTCGGTTCTATCAAATGATCTTCCACGACATTCTACCATATTTCACTCAACAACAGTCTGTTTCTACCATCAACGTCAAACAGGTTCTTATTCCGAATCAGTGGACGGGCTTAATAATTATTTTGTCGGGTGTCATACTACATTTGGTTCTTACGTTGATAACTATCATCATGTTCATGGCCTCGACAAAGAGCTCTATCCTAGGGAATTCATGGCATGCTGTGTCGCAGATCATTTCGCCGGAGACGAGCGTTGTGGTGGAGACTGTGGCGAGTAGTGGGATGAGGGATGTTGATGTTGCGAAGTGGGCGGAGTCAACGGGTTCTGATGGACATGTGTATGGGTTATCAACTTGCGCTGATAATAAAATTCGCAGGCGGTAGAGACCATTGATGAGAGCTGCAATAGAAATCAGGAGCAGAGAGGTATATTTGTTACTTGTGTTGTGAAATCAAACAAATCATAAGCTAAATGTACTACTTGCAATCCGTTATCAGACCTTTCTCGCCTCCTTTGAGCTACACGAGCTAGGGCAGAAAGGAAGACTTAGGACCTTGAGCCTAAAGATTTAGAAGATTTAGGTGATTTAGTATAAAGTTAGGATATATTTAGGATATACTTTACTAAGTTTATTCTAACACCTTTTTCATGTCTGATATATTCTTACCCCAAGGACGAACTACTTAAAACTCCTTCCATGAAATCCAGGCAGAATCTGCTGTCCCTCCAGCTCATCATACGTGACTCCTCTCTTCTGCGACTGCTGCCACGTCTGCTTCAACGTCGTAAACTCACCCATGGTCGGAACGCGATGATTTCCCCTCTCAAACTCATTCTGCGTGTAACCCTCACGCTTCAAAAGAGGAGAGTCAATAGTGTTGAGAACAAGGTCATTCTCTGCGCGCGAGAAATACAAAAGACCCAGACGGTCTACGTTGCGTTGATCCTTGGGAGGCACAGACACCTAAACCGTTAGTCTGGGAAATACTGTGAAAGGATTGACGTACGCGATGGATGGTAGACTGGACATAACCACCCGTAAGAAAACTCAGCGCATCACATGCATTGACTGTTAAACTTCCGTCAAGAGGCTTAGCCCACTTCCAATCGCCAGTTTTATGATCCTTGATCTGGAGACCGGCGACAGGTTGACGGAAGAGAAGGGTGTAGGAGCCAAGATCAGTATGGCCACGAGACCAAAGACCATCGTCAAGTTTTTCAATTTCTTCGGGGGAGAACTTTCCGTATTTCATGTAGCGGAGGTGAGATTCGTTGTGAGTTCCCCATTTGTGTAGGTTGACGAGATGGCCTTCTGGGATTTGGAGGGCGAGAGCTGTGAGGTGGTAGAGAGGGTCGAGGACTTTTTCGTGAAGGTCCTTAAGGTGAGTGTCAGTAGAGTTCTGGTGAATGACTGGTGGATGAAGCTTAATATCTCAGAAAGGAAAGAAAGGTAACAAGTTGACTTGATGTATAAGAAAGAGTGTTGGAGGAACTTACCTTTGCAAATGAGGTGATTTCATCGATGTGATCCTTCAATAACTTAGGAACAGGCTGGGTAATCTTTCCATTATCCGCTACACAGAGTCAGTACTACAGCCTACTCAGTCTCAGACCAACTTACTAGCCATATTCCAAACCTCAGTCTTCTCCTTCACACCACCCGACAGAATCCTTCTTCCACCAGGTCTGTACCCATTATACTCTCCCGCATCAAGATCAGGAACATACTTGAGCTTCTCTTCGATGGGGAGATTATAAAAAGCATTGCCAAGCGCGAATTGCCTGTCGATGGCAGATTGAGGGATGTCGAACTTGGTTACGTAGAAGAACCCTTTGGTGCGGATTGCTTCAATGAGAGTTTGGGCGAGTTCTGCGTTTCCTTCGGGAGTGCCGTATTTAGACAGGTCAATGTTTGCCACTAGAGGAGTTAGAGCGATAGGTGTATGAGGGGATGAGGGGAAGTACAGTCTGCCCAGTCGAGATCTTCCTTTGTCTCGGGGACGTAGGAGTATTGGGGAATTTCTGAGACAGCAGATGGCATCTTGTTCTATATCGACTAAGTACACGCCTACACGGTGATTATAGTTTGAATTACAGAGTTCGAAGAAGGACAATCGAGTTGATATATGCGGGACATTTATATGCTGACATATCAATGGAGATAACGATGTCGTGATTGATTTCTCCGCATGAGATGCCACGCTATGGAGGGGAAGATGTTTTCCGATGTTGATCAACTGCTTGCTCAATCTTGATAACAATTGCGCAATCTGACCTTGGGAGGCTTAGTCAGGATAACGACTTCAACAACGTTATGTTGAAGCTTTTGGTTACCTGCACTGCTTGAAGAGTTGGAACAACCCTTTCACCATTTAATTTCCTACTATTGATGGGGAGAAGACATGGTCTTTGACTCTTTGAGCGCCAGTTAGTGGTTCGTGCTCATAGCGACTATCCCGAACGGCTTCAGTCTTTTGAGATTGTCAAGATGTTTTGTTGGTAAGGCCAGTGCTTGTACTCACGAGACATGGCCAATTCTTACTTATTGATTGGATCATTCAAGCTATATCAAAATAGCTTTCGAAAAATGCCCTTCGCCGCATTCAGCTTGGTTGAAACGAGTTAGTGCAGGGATATGACAGGTGGACCCTCAAAGTCACGTCAGGCCATCAAAGCTCTCGACTTCGAGCCAACTTCACCAACTTCGTTTGAGTTTCACAAAATGGTCACCGCCACTTCTCAGCTACGACAAAAGTCATGGAGACGAGATGAGTTTCTAATCTCGACTGACCCCTCGCTGATCCCAGTCAACGAAGTCATCAAAGTCTTCAAGTCTGACGAATTCTACTGGGCGAAACCTCTCCCGGAAGACGCGACCCGCGAAATGCTCGACAATGGCCTCTGCTTCGGTCTCTACGACACAGATACATATTCACCACCCCCATCTCCCGGCAACCCCGTCAAGAGAAAGCCCTCCGGACTCAAGTTTATCGGCATCGCTCGCTGCATCACAGACTTCACCACGGTTCTCTACATAACCGACGTCTGGGTCACTCCCGCCTACCGCAGCGAAGGACTAGGTACATGGCTTATGGAATGTGTCAATGAAGTTGCCGAGTCAATGCCCCACTTGAGAAAGAGTATGCTAGCTACGGGTGATTGGGAAAAGAGTGTTCCTTTTTATGAGAGGATTATGGGGATGAAGGTTACAGAGGGGACGAGAGGGGAGACGAGGGCGATTATGGAGAAGAGAGGGAGAGGAAATCCGAGATACGAGGAGGAGAAGGGAGAGAAGAAGAAATAATAAAGACGAAGAGTTTTTATGTTTTTTTTTGTTCTTTTCTATGCTAATCACTACTGTATCCAAATTCTCGAGAAACTGTGTCATGAAATCACGGTTATAGAGATCTGTTGCCCGAGGTTGAGTGGCCAACAGAAAATGCGGGGTTACCCACCAACCTCACATCATACGTGAACCACCAAATTCATCATCCCAGTCCACAATCCCTCATCATAAACACGAATCTGTCGTAAACTCACCCAAAATGCCCTTCCCAAAGCTCCCCCCAAGAGCCGCCTACATCAAACTCTCAAACCCCACCAAGCGCAACGCCCTCAGCATCCCTGTGCTCAGAGACCTCAAGTCCCAGCTCGACAGCGCCCTCTCATTACGCCCTACCCAGCGCAAGGGCCTGCTCCCCAAATTCAGCCATCATCTTCTCCAGGGCCTCGAAGAGGCATCCAAAGACCCGACCTCGAAGCAATGGAAGCGTTGGGACTGGCTCGTCAGCGCATCTGAATGGAAGAAACAGCGTGCCGGCGCACCAGATGTTCTGGTCCTTAGAAGCGAAGGGCCTGTCTTCTCATCGGGCCATGATCTCCAAGAGCTGTCTAAGATGAGTCGCGATGATGTCAAGACTCTGTTTGAACTTTGCTCCGAGGTCATGACGACTATTCGGAGGAGTCCTGTGCCGATTGTTTGTCCGATCCAAGGCCTTGCGACAGCAGCTGGGTTCCAACTCGCCATGAGCACCGACTTCCCCATTGCTCTCCCAGACACCCAATTTGCCTTGCCAGGAGCAAAGATTGGATTACCATGCACCAGCCCCTCGACAGCTGTTTCACGACGTTTTCCCGCCGCGACGACATATCGACTCTTGGCCACAGCAGAGCCAATCAAAGCATCAGACTACCCAGACGTCATCGACGTTGTCAGAGTGCCACCAGGCGAGGACCCAGAAGAGGCTTTCGAGAAACGCGTGGCAGCTGTGGTTGAACGGCTGCTTTCGATGTCGCCCCAGCAGCAGGCTGTAGGAAAATGGGCATACTGGTCGCAGTTTGGATTTGGAAAAGCGAAGGGTGATGGATACGAGCAGGCTTCTCAATGGGCGGGTAGAGTTATGGCGTTGCATGCGAGGAGTGAGGATGCTAAAGAGGGTATTGCTGCGTTTTTGGAGAAGAGGGAACCTGTTTGGATAAGCAGTGGCGCGCACGAGGCGAAGGAGACGGCGGTTGATGTTGATGCTCCTGCAGCTGAAGTCACTGATTCGATTACTGAGGATGCTGCTTCTTCTACTGAGGCTGATGCTACTGCTACTGCGGCTGGCGAATCTACAGCTGAGAGCCAGGCACCCGAGCCTGATGTTGATCGTCCTATTACAACAGATCGTAGCTAGACTAAATAAAGGCTTACATTTGCAACCGATAACCCAGATTGTTATCAATTTCGGGATCGATATCTATACCGCAACTAAGACTTTGTTATGTACAACTAGGGGAAAAAAAGGTAACTGTCTCTGGTAAATCACATTGGCTGCAGGATCAGGCACTTAATTAGATCTCAACGATAAATACAGTTCTGCTATGTCAAGATCTAGGAAAGCACATTTCGGGCCATTTACCAGAGTGAGATGTGCTATTTGCCATCGAGCCTTTATGCATGTCTTACCGCTTTGTGCCCAACCTGGATTGCGAGGTTGACTCACACATTAGCCAATAGGGATGGTACCTGTGCCATCGTCCATTGCAGACAGCATAGATAGCCTATGGGAGGAAAGAATACTCAGGACCTTGATCTAAAACGACAAAAAGGCTTAGGTAACTTAGGATAAATTTAGGGCAACTTTAATAAGTTTAGGATATCTTTTGTTAAGTTTATTTTTAATACCTCGTGTTCAGGTCTGAGCTTTCTTGACCCCCGAGGGTAGCTTTCCTTTCCTGGACCGGCAAGACATAGCTGTGGGATAGCTGGTGAGGGGGCAGGAAAGTGAAACAAATCACCTTTTGACATGACAGCAAGTGATATGCAGGTGCCTCAGCGGACCTCGTCAGCTGATGGAAAGCGCCATGTTTAGGCAACATACCCTCTTCAGCTTATTTTACCCTTACATCTCTCGAAACCTCAAGTGAAGGCCAATATTTCTCTTGCAGATCGGACTTTCATCGTGATTCAAAAGACGTATTGGGCTGCCGTGAAAGGCCAAAGCCCTTCTGCTGAAAACTTTCCTTCATACTACGAAACCACGAAGCTACTGGTGTGGGATGGCTGGTTCACCCGATAAAACCAGTAGCCAGCAGGACAAAGGTTGGACGCCGCTGATGTGCGCTGCAGAGTCCGGCGACATCGACACGCTTACAGCCCATGTCACTGATAGTCGCGATATCGACATCGACGCACGCGACTACGATGGCTGCACGTCGTTGGCAATAGCTGCCGAAAAGGGGCGTACCGCTGTGGTAGAAAGACTGCTTGAACACGGCGCCGAACCCAACTTGAGCGACCTCGACCAGATCACTCCGTTGCGGCAGGCCGCTCGGTATGGCCATGCTTCTGTCGTGCAACTTTTATTAACGAATGAGAAGTTGTCGGATGTTAACCAGCGACCTGCCCAAAAGTACAAGCTAGAGACACCCCTCTCCATTGCGATCAAGAAGGGCCATCAAGAGACAGCAGAGCTACTATCGCGCGCAGATGGCATCAATCCGTGCCTAACAACTGACCTGAACAAGGGGTCTTGGGAAGAAATCAGCATACTGGGCCTTGCTATTCGTGGCGGATTCGAGGACATGGCATTATCTCTGCTGGATAAATGTGATATTGGGCACGACTCTCGAGACACTATTGAGCCTGCCTCGAAGCTCCTAGTTTTCGCTGTCGCCGCTGGATGCCCTAGGATTGTTCAAGAGCTTTTGACCAAGCACAGTCCCGATGGAAAGATTGAGGTTGGCTATAGAAATGAAAAAGGGCGCACTGCTCTTTCATTTGCGGCCGAGAGGGGCTTTGAGGCTGTGGTGGACGAACTGCTGGCAACCGGAGCCGCCGATCCAAACAGCCGAGATTCCCGCACGAGAACACCGCTTATCTGGGCAACAAATCCAGGGTGGAGATATCGTCCTGGGGGTTGGCAGTCGCACGAGGGCGTGACACGCAAGCTGCTGGCTGATAGGCGGATTGCTGTTAATGCTAAGGACTCAACTGGCCGTACGGCACTATTATACGCGGCTCAAGATGGCGCTTTAGGACTCGTCACGACTCTTCTAGAGCACCCTCAGATCGACCCAACGGCTGGGCCCGAGGACATGCCTCCGTTGTTGGAAGCTTCACGTGGTCACGCGGACGTGGTTCAGGCGTTGCTAAGTTCAGGGCGGGTCGACGTGAATACCGTCATGGCTCGTGGGTATGAAAGAACAGCACTAATGGCTGTGGTCGAATACGGTGAAGTCGAATACAAAGGTGCGACTGAAGTGTTGATATCCACCTCCGGTATCGATGTGAACTTCCAGGACAGGGATGGTAGGACAGCTTTGATGCTGGCTGTCTCTGGAGGGACGGTGGGAATGGTTAAGCAGATTTTGGCTGCAGGAGGCGATCCAAACATGCAGGACAGCAACGGAAACACTGCTCTGAGTCATGCGCGGAACTTGAGGAAATAAAGGCGCTTCTCAAGGTTCCAGGGATCAAGCCTGATCTCCCGAACAACATGGGGCGGACAGCACTTTCGCTGGCCGCAGAGGTTGGCGAGATCGACTGCATCAATGCCCTTCTCGCCAGAGACGACGTCAATCCCGATTCAAGGGATATTAATGGACGAGGGCCGCTTTCATGGGTTTTCGGAGAGGTGGTCTGGGGAGTATTTCCAAAAAAGAAGAGCGAAAAGCCATATTGCAGCGGCTGCTAAGGATCCCAAACATCGACCCTAATGCCGAGGACCATGATGGCTTTACTCCGCTGCTTCTGGCCATAATATCTGACCAAGGTCATGAGATCATAGAACAAAAAGAGTCTGAAGTCGGCGGTTCACCCCCATATGTAGCCTTGAGCTATGTATGGGGAAAGCCAAAAGGCAATCAACAACCATCACAACGGCAAAAGCACCCAGAAGATCTGGACGGAAAGGGAGGTGGTACAGTGGAACCAGCCATCGAGGATGCCATCCAGGTGACACTAGAGTTGGGCTACAGATACCTGTGGGTGGACCGGTATTGCATTGTGCAGACAGGTGACGAGGCTATCAAGCAGGAGCAGCTACGACATATGCACCTCGTTTATGCGAATGCAGAGGTGACTCTGATCGCAGCAGCTGGTGAAGACTCATCAGCTGGTCTACCTGGCGTCCCAGGGCGCCCGAGGAACCAGCAACCAGGCGCTCTTATCCAGGGCCACGCTGTGATATGCATCCCTCCAGATCCCTCCCTCCACATACGCTCCAACTCGACCTGGGACACTCGGGGATGGACATATCAGGAGGGACTACTAGCAGGCCGCCGTCTTTACTTCTCAGAATATGAGATATCTTATGAGTGCCGCCATATGCTTTGCCGCGAGGCCATACACTTGCCTCGTGGCTTGGAACAAACTATATATGGAGATAAGCCGCGCTTTATGGAGTCTTTTTGGATGTACCAGTCTTGAAAACTTGTCGGGATGGACTCATCCAAACTGGCGTCGGCATATTTGACCTCTTGGCGGTTTACACGAAACGAAAGCTTTCCTTGCCCTCAGACGCCCTCAATGCCATGCTTGGTATCTTCAGTTTACTTACACAACACAAGACAGGACCTCTATATCATATTTGCGGCGTCCTTATTCTGCGCCTCAGAGGCTCTCGCCTAGGCGTAGTCGAGGGAAAACGACTAATTCCAGCGCCTAATGCTAACGTCGCCGTTGCTCTAAGTCTTGGTGGCTTTATCGATGGTCTATGCTGGCAACTTAAGGAGCCCGCTCATCGGCGACAAGGCTTTCCGAGTTGGTCATGGACAGGGTGGCAAGGCGTTGCCGCTGCAATGAGGAAAGATAGCCAGGCTATTGAGCAACCTAATGGACTTGCGATAGACATATCCATCATTTTATATCAGCATGGCAGTCGACGATACCAAGCTATACCTTGAAGAAGACTGGAAGAACTGTTTATGAGAGCCCACGAAGGCGATCCAAACTCTTATTTACTGGACAGGCTATAACTTTCGGTTCTACTTAAGATCAGATCTCAGCGTGTACTTGTATCTATTGTATACCTTTCATCATGCGGACTTAACGCTCCTAGCTGCTAGCCATCCGTGGTTATAAAATACAACACATAAGTTGAAAGGTCAACTTGACAATGATGAACTCCGTGTTTCCCAACTAAATACCCGTCCCAGGGAAAACAGGCTTCTCGTTGTGCTTGCAGTTGCGTTACTCCCTCTTCTCTCCGCCCTAGTCTTCTTCTCCAACCTCTCCAATTCCACTTCAGGCTCAAGTGATAGGAACTTATTCACCGCCTTGCTCGACGAGAAGAGTCTTCGAAGTTCCCTCCTCGCCGTATGCTCATCAATGTCCTGCTGGTCCGGATCTGCACCCTTGGCACGCAAGCGTAGAATCATCTCTTCTCGCCTCGCAAGTGAGATTCCAGTGCAGGACGAGCAAGCTAAGATGGGGCATACTCCTGTATTGTCTACCATGTTCACATGAGCTCCTGCATCGAGGAGCTTTTTCATTGTTCTTAAGTTGCCCTGCGCACATGCCATGAATAGGGCTGTTTTGCCATACGCATCTTGGGAATTGATGTCAATCAGTGATGAAGCGTCATGACTATCTGGGTCAGCATGTGTTAGGCTTGAGCGGTGCATCGACCCATTTAGAGCTTCGAGAAGTAGACTCAATGTCTTGTGGTCGCAGCATCTGTGAAGCGGTGTGCGGCCTTCTCTATCTCTAACATGGACCAGTGACGGCGTCTTGAGGAGCTGTCTAGCCACTGCAGTGTTTGACTTTCCGACTGCTAGAAGAAGAGCCGTATCTCCGCTAGCGTTTCTGAGTGCGAGGAGATCGTCTTTCAATAGTAGTGGGATGATGGACTCGTTCACCTCGGTATCCAAGGCGGCTTCATGTAAAGCGCTTCTGCCTTTGGCGTTCTTCAGGTGCGTAAATACCAGTTGATCTCCTTCTGTACGGACTTCAAAGTCCTTATCCGAGCACCACTTGATAGCCTTTTCAAGATCGCCGGGTATTTTTGTTGGATCATATCCAACGTGGTGTACTAGGTATCCCCCAAGAGCAGTGGCAAACTGCGGACGGCCTTGTCTCTTGTAGATCTTGCAGATCATCTTGGAAATCTGTTCAATCTCAGTATGATGTCTATCTTTGTCGACTTCACTGTAGCCGTTCAGCAGCGCACGTCGGAGCCAGTCTTCTGCTTGAGCCCAATCCTCCAAGGTGCAATACATCCGTCCTAAACTCCACCATACCCCGCGTAGATCGGGGTCATGCTTGTCTATATTGGGTATGATACTCTCATGCACGTACGACTTTGCTCTATCTCCGAAGATAGGGTGTTTCTCGATCGAGCTGAGGAGAAGATTGACGTATCTCTCCTGGAGCTGGAACGTCTCCTTGAAAGTTGGCGTAAGCCCTTTGACTCGACTGATCTCGTCAGACAGTCTAATGACTTCCAGTTGAACATTCGATGCGATAACAGGAATTTTGGAGGCTTCCAGATGGTCGACTTGTTGTATCGTGGCACGGAGGCGTAGTTCTTGTTCAACGGGACTCACTGTACTTGAAGGCATTATTTCAGTTGTGTCAGGCATCAGATCCCAATCCACTTCGGTTGGTGCAAGGGTAGCCACATCTGTAGGGTCCAACTTTTGAATGGCAATATGCTTGGCGAAGCCCTCTGCAGAGGACCGCCAGTCATCCAACTCAACTCTGGGTTCATCAAGGGTTTCAGGTGTAGGAACGGGTTCCCAACTGGCGTGGCCAGTCCCTAGCGCCCGCTGAACATCATTCATGTTATCGTCGTTTATACTGTGGCAGTTTCAGCATTGGCGAAGAAGCATGGCTAATATTGGAAGCATGACGTACCCTCTTATGAGATCTCTGTTGATTTGAAGAAGAGTGACGTGATGCTCTATCCATTTGAGGAGATGCTCGTTCTCTTTCCAGTCCATTGTGAGAGCAAGTTTGACTTTGCTCCTCAACGAGACCCTTGAAGTCGAAGCTCGATTGCCAAGGTTAGTGCTTGAGATGTTGCTTTCGAGCTTCCTAAGGTCACGGTTGAACCGATCGAGATGAGTGCTGATGACTCCATAGTGTACCCCTTCGAGAGAATCCCTGGTAGGATGACTGACATTTCTCTCCCGTAAGACAATCTCGAACTGCTGCGAGATATGTTGGAGAGACTTGATCGCGACATTCCATCGGTCTAGCGTCTCATGCGAGTCCCTGACCGCCGTGACGCAGATGTCGATGGCTTTGCAGGTACCTACGATCGCCTGTGCAATGGCGATGGCACCTCCAATAGGCTCCATCGGGGTCATAATAACTTGTCCGTAAGTATATTCCTAAGAGAATTCCAGAGTCGTAATATGGAGTACGTACGCAGAACGGGGAGAGAAGGTGAAGTAGCGGAGTTCAGATGAAGAAATATTGGAAGATGATATGTCGAAAGAGAATACCAATCGGTACTTCTTGTAAATGCTCCGCCTCCGCAAAAGCCAGGACCTTTCGAAACTGGATAATTGCCGATCGATCCACATGATCATCGAGCGGGGAGTCTCGAGTCTGGGGAATGTGGACGTAAGGCAAAATCAGCCGGTGGACGCTGTGTGACATCACCAAGCGCCCGTGGCGTTTTATGAAACTCGGTATGAGTCAAAGAATATCAAAAAGGCTGCAGTTTGCGTAATGGAAGCAGTCCCGACACCCGGTTGGCTCTTTGATGCCAGGTTCTTAAACCAATGATGAAAATGCACCAAGTCTTTTGGTAATCATTCGCTGCACCTTGCACAACCAGGGACTGCCGAGCTGATCTGTTTGCTATAATATCGCCAAATTCAGGCCTCAGGGGAGAGCCTGCAGATCATGCAGTTCTCCAGACTGTCGCCAGCCTTATTTTCAACCCTCACAGCCGTCATGACTCGCTTACCGCAACCCATGATTGGTGATAACTTGCATCTGGTCAATGCTCAATGAAAAGTCGCAAACGCGTTTGTTTGCTCTCAGGGATAAACCTTGCGATGTTATTCAGCTGTCTCGTGTCCAGAGTTGAGCTATTGTTTCAACTCGGCGGTGAACCTGTAGTCCTGCAGCCATTTCTTGGCCTGTTGCGGCAAAGGCTCCCGGTACAGTTCGCTCAAAGAACAGAGCCGCATTTTTTCGGTAAATCAGTTCAATGGCATTAAATACATGTGATTTCGCTGCTTAGAATTATGCCTTGGGCAGTTGTATGACGTCCTTTGAGCCAACCTCCCCGAGTTGCCATTTATCTAACCCAAGCCCAATACCTCAGAAACAGAGACTGATATACCCAGTCACCTTCTTGGAGTGATCCACATTGGACATGACTGATGGAAAGGCCTCATTCTCTCTTTCTGGGAGGATTTCAAATTTCAAGGAGGACTGGGAGAGATGGATAAGAAGACAGATCAAGGAGCGCGGTGGTGATCGAAGCGTCCTCTGTGAGTATCGTGCCGACTGATCTCAATAACTACCCCATTCTGACATTTTAACAGGCGACACCACTTCCCCAACAGAAATCAGAGACGCCCTCACCAGTCTCGCAGAGCATCTCCCCACCGTGAGCGTCGACGAACTCGAAAGGGCCTTCAGCATCGCGCAGAACATTAACTACTACGCCGTTGCCGAGTCCTCAGAGAATCCAATGCCCAACGACCTCACCGAGGATGAAAAGAAATGCATTCGTAATGAGAGAGAGCATGTGTTTTCTCAACCTGGAATGCCAATCATCATCATCACCGTGTCTCTCGCCGCCTTCCTACAAGGACATGTTCAGGCTTCGATCAATGCAGCCGATATCTACGCTATGGACGCGTCAAATCCTCTGCGCCTACCACCAGGTGATGAGACTTGGACTTCTGGGGCCATGAACGCAATACCGTACTTCACTGCTGCTTTGATAGGTTCGCCAATGTCCCTTCCCATCAACATCTGCATCGGTCGTCGAGGGGCACTCATGGTTTCTGCCTTGTTGATCATTGCAAGCTCCATTGGCTCTGCGTTCTGTCAGACATGGCTCGAGTTGCTCTTGGTCAGAATCATCGCTGGCGTCGGTACGTATAGCACTTTATATCATTCAGCAACTCCTTTGTCGTTCTTGTACTAACAAACATCCAGCAATGGGTATCAAAGCCGTCAGTGCGCCCGTCCTCGCTTCTGAGACAGCCGTCCGATTCTGGAGAGGCTCCATAGTACTAGCCTGGCAGCTCTGGTATGTCGTCTCCCCCTGCATAGTGACTCTCTCTAAATCCTCTAGGGTTGCATGTGGTATCCTCATGGGATCTGTCATCAACATAGCAATAGCAGATGCCACTGGATACCTTGGCCAAGATGGAGACAACAGATCACGTCTCGCTCTTCGCCTTATCCTCGGTGCCCCGGCTGTTCCAGCGCTCCTCTTATTCATCGCCGTGACTATGTGTTATGAGAGTCCTCGGTACTATATGCGCTCCGGCACTCCAGGTTACAGCATCGACCGTGCCTTTCAGATTCTACTCAAGATCAGATCTCATCGTGTAAGCTACAGACCCACGATATCATGATATGGGCTGACTCAGTGCTATTAGCTTTTAGCCGTCCGTGATCTCATTCTCATCTGGTGGCCCAATCGTCCACAGAGGGGGGAGTCTGACCAGGCAAGTATAATGGGGGCGAAGCAAACCGGGCTCACATATATGGGACGAGTTGTAGCATCCTTGAGGCTATCGAAATTGCAGTACTCGTCCCTTTTCCAGCCAGAATTCTTGAGAAATGCGGTGTACAGTACCTGCATAGTATCACTGGCGCAGCAGCTTTGTGGTGGTATGTGGAAGGACCCTTCTTCACAAAGTCTACTAACAATTCTTAGTCAACGTCTTCGCATTCTACTCCAACAAAATGTTCAGTGGGGCATACGACAACCTCAAAGCAACTCTCGCATACAGCGTTGGATTTGGTACGTGCTTCAAGACTCCTTGGTCATAAGAGCCTCGTGTCTGACACTGACTACTATGCAGGTGGTGTGAACTTCCTATTCGGACTACTTGCTATGAGGTCAGTAACTGCGTGGTTCTAGCCTACCTACAATGAACTGACTGCCCCAAGATCTATAGACACTCTTGGCCGCAGAAGATGGCTTCTCTTCACACTGCCGTTAATGAGCCTGTTTCTTATGGGGGCGGCTATTGCATATACCGACAACTTCTCAAAGGATATAGAGGCTCGAAACATTGTGGGAACCGTCTTTGTATACTGTGAGTATCCGATTGGGGTGTGTTAGAGCTGCATTGACTTGTCGGAGGTTTCGTGGCTGCTTATGCCCCTGGCCTAGGTGAGTAACCAGTACCCATGTACCCATGTATCAGAAGCATCGCTGACGAAGGCCTAGGACCGATCCCATTCACTTTGGCTTCTGAGAGGTAAGGACCCATGTGCTTGATGAAAAGTCTACAAAAACACTAACTTAACCAAGTTTCCCGTCATCTCATCGTGAAGCTGTAAGTTTACCCAGATTTGCCATAATCCTACCCTAACACGAAGCAGGGCGCTTCTATCGCTATCAGCATGAATCTCTTCTTCGCAGGTCTCTTGTCAATTCTGCTACCAAAGATCTATCAGGCTTTCCACGCAAGAGGGACATTGGGCGTTTTCTCCGTCCTCAATGTCATAGCATTCATACTTGTCCTCTTTCTGATTGAAGAAACTAGTAATCGGAGTCTGGAAGACCTTGAGAAGGTCTATGAGCGTCCAAAGATGCAACTGGTCATGTGGGTATGGCATGAACAGCTTCCTTACTTTGTGCAGAAGTGGGTCCTTTGGAGAAGAAATGTTGAAGAGCCTGTACCTTATGACAGTTATGGCGAAGAGGTACACGGTGGTGAGACTGAAGCAGAAACGGAGAGCTTGGGGGAATCACGATAAGTCCGGAATATCACTGGCGACACTGCAGAGGAGAGTTTCGATCAGCCTATATAGCTTAGGCATAAAAGTAAACCCATGGCTTCTTCACATACCTTACGACATAATTGAGAGACAATTGAGACATTGAATGGACAGAGAAATGCCAAGAAAATGGTTTTTAGCGTTAAGCAAGGTGACCAACTATAGAAACTAAGAAAAACAAGAGTATCGAGGCGAGCCAGCGATAAACCAGCGGAAGAAATGAGGAAAGCTGCCCAATGGGCGATATGATAGACCACAGAAAGAGCAAGAAGACGCCCCGAACTCCGTCCGGCCAGTTACAACAGACAAGGGTTCAGAGAAAAACCACCATCGAAGGCTAGGCGGCGTTGCGCTTACGCTTGCGCGACAGGGCTTGGGAAGGCCCTCGGCTGAGGGGTGCCATTCCAGCAACATTAGGGGGGCAGACGGGAGCGGTGCAGCCACTGGCACGCGCTTCATTCATCTGGGCGATGAGAGTATCTTTAAGTTCCTGGGGCAAGTCCTCAAGCTCCCCATCGTCGGATCCATAGGGGGTCTTGTCGGCATCGGGAAGGCAACGGAGCGCGTTGCGCAGACGCACGGCCTTGGAGGCATCGCGAGCGTACAACGGTATCGAGGCCGCAACTTTAGCCTGCATTTCCTCAGGGGAGAAAGTGATGCCAGACTAAAGAGTGTTAGCGGTGAATGACCGCCAAGTGGTCGCTGTAACTTGCAGACTGGAGGAGTTGCAGGGAGAGCAGCTCGCAGTGCGCCGCAATGCTTTGTGTCTGGATAATCAAAGCGACGCCACGATCGTTGTTCGATAGCTTCAGCGGGTCGGAGATCTGTTCGGCGATGGCTCGCTAAGCCGAGGCGCACTCTTCGAAGACGGACCAAACGCGCCAGACATCCGTGCTGTCGAGGACGTCGGGGTTGGCAGCGAGGGTTTGGAGCCGACGGACATGATTCCAGTAGAATTGGGCGGCGCCGAGGATCTCGCGAGGGATCTATGCTAAGTATGAGAGAACGTTGAAGATAAATGAACAAATGAAGAAGGATAACGTACAGAACCGCATTTCTTGTTTGAGTTCTGGCAGCAGAGACAAGTGGGTTTCGCCGAGTCTTTGGCGACACAGAGCAGACGCGAATCGCGATGGATGGTCGTGAGGCACAGAAAGCACGGAACCTCATCTGGTGCAGTGAATGAGGTAAACTTGATGTTTTTATCGTAGACAAACTCTGCCAGGGCATTCGCGATGGTAGGTAGCATCGACATCTTGAATCGCGCGGAGAGAAATCGAGGCAAGGCGAAGGGTCGGCGATGTGAGAAGTTGAAGAGAAAAAGGGTAATCAGACATGGCACGGTTCAGCTGGGCAGACGTAGAGCCTTGGATCCATCGCGAGTGCACAGTGGCTACAACTCGAGCCTGCATTTCCTATAGCGCAGCAGCCGATGTTCTACTCCCGTCGCCCCACAAGGAGAAGGAAAGGTTTCAACGTAATCCACGTTCGAACTTTCCTTCTCAGCGTTGTTGGCATCCCCAGCATCGGGTAGGTGCATAAGCCTTTCCCTCTTCCAAAAAATCGAGATCTTCGTCTTTCCCCACTGTCTCACCATGCGCGTTGCTTCTACAGTCATTGCCGCTCTTGAGGAGTACGAGTTCGACTTGGAAGCCGGCTTTGCTCGCCTTGGTCCTGGCGAGTCTTCTTGCCTTGGATGTGTGCTCGCCATCCACCGAAGCAACCGTCTCGTTTGCGTTATTGATGAGATGGAAACTTGCTGCACTTGGTGTGCTCACAATCACAAAAAGTGTACTGCTGTAAGTACTTTAGTCTTCAAAGCTTCTCCAATATTTCCTAGATCCCACTCGAACTCAAAGCCGTGATCTAGCACTACTGGAACCAAGTCGACTACGAAACCACAGTCGACCGAACGCTGACCCCCATCCAACGCTGGCGTATTGTGCAATGCCTCGACCGTCGACGAAATTGGTTCCGCCCTTCGCTCCATCGTCGACATCCGAACCTTTGCCGTTTTGCTTTTTTCTCTCTTTGTTGTCTCCCCTCCATAATCTCTCTGTGATAAGGTTGTCGGAGGTTAAAAGAGGCTTTAGCCCCCAGCGCACAAAGGTAAAGAACACCAATAAACACATACGGGCAAGATACTGATTGCCCTCACTGTTGCCTAGGATTCATAATCTCTCATTACCTGCGAGAGCCTTCGCCAGATCCCAAAACCATTGCCGAACTCTCGCCTCGTAATCGCAACCATGGCTATAGTCCCTGTCCCCCCGGAGGAAACACCCCTGACCCATTTGAACCAATACAACCAAGCCAGAACAGTACGTCTGTGAAGACAAATACCAGACAGAGGCTCTACCACAAGGCGCTGGAAACAGGCCGCCGACTTGTCGCCAACCTACGCGAACCCACAACCCCTTACCGGGTTCACCCTCCTACCACTGCCCGCTATACCTTCGAATACAGCGAGTATGGCCCGAGAGCAAATTCGCTACTCCCATCCTCAACGACATTTCTGCGAAGCTTGAACGTGGATGTCTTACTGCGATGTGTGCAGTGTCCCACCAGGGGACGGCGAATGTGTGGCGGTGAAGATGGCTCTTTGGAGCGGATTATTTGTTGTTATAAGCGAACTTGCAAGAAAGTTCGATTGCATTATGTATGGATAACTGGTTTAGGCCTAAGCCTCGTCCTAAAGATCCTAAAACTTAGGATAAGATCATCAAAAAGAACCCTAAAGCTTATGATGATACGATCACAAGGCTTAGTGTCAGGTTGAGACTTGGTTAAAGATCACACGACAGATTCGCACAACCATGGGTCAATTATTAATGTTGCGCGGAAACTTTCTATTCTTCTATCAATCTACATAAACAACAACGATCCTTACACCACAATCTCCACCCATCTCTTGTTCCACTGATGTGTCAACGCCTTGGCCTTGGGCTGTCTCTTAACCTCATCATACAGCCTAGCGGTAAGATACTTGTAAATCCAAGGCGAAGCACCATTGTACACGATACTGTGGTCACTATCCGTGAACGCAAACATCTTCATCTTCTCAGGTGACACGCCCGCGCCAACGAGAAGATCAATCATAGCAGCGGCATGCTGATAGTGAACATTGTCATCACCAGTACCGTGAAGAATACTGAAACTACCAGCGATGTTCTTGAAGCCATCGACTTTGTGCACGGCAGTCTCGAGATATCCATCCTTGTTCTCGTCAAGAGTCTTCATGTAGCGCTCCGTGTACATGGAATCGTAGAAGCGCCAATCCGAAACAGGAGCTGTGATGAGGCCGAAGCTAAACACTCCCGAGTCTGCCTCGACGGTCTTGGCTGTAAGATATCCACCATACGACCATCCCCACATTCCAATCTTATCAGCGTTGATAAAACTATATCTCTTGATGAGCTCCTCCGCAGCCCAGATCTGATCAAGAGGCTCAAGCTTTCCGAGCTGAGATGTAACGAGCGAGCGGTACTTGCGGCCTTGCATGGCGGTTCCGCGGTTATCGACGGTGTACACGATGTACTGAAGCTCAGGATCAGATGAGATGTAGGACTTCCATCCTAGAGATTGGAAAGACTTTGCGACACGCTGGGAGTTGGGTCCGCCGTATGGAGTGAACAGAACGGGGTACTTCTTGGAAGGGTCGAAGTTGACGGGGAGCTGCTGCATGACGTTAAGGGAGTAACCATCCGGATGCTTGAGCTCAAAGTATGTGATGTTGGGCATGCTGTACTGATTAATGGTCTTGTAGAACGCCTTGTTGTCAACAAGCGTGCGGACAGGCTTGCTGGTGGAGTTTGTGGTGTAAAGCTCCTGATAAGGGACGTCGGGACCCTGGTAGTGAAGAATGTAGTAACCGCCGCTGGAAGAGAACGATGCAGACCAGTAGCCGGGAGTCTTATCATCAACGAGAGGAGTAATCTTCTTAGTCTCCCACGAGACCTTGTAGACATGTCGCTCGGTAGAGTGTCGCTTCGAAGCTTGGAAGTAAATAAGCTTCTTGGCGGTGTCGATATTGAGAATAGTCGAGACCTCCCACTTTCCAGAGGTAAGCTGAATAGCCTTTCCACCGTTGACAGGGTACAGGTAAATATGGTTCCAACCATCCTCGTCTGAAACATCAACATAGTAAGCATCCTTCTTCTTGGAACTCAAAGGACCAACGAAAGAGATGGAGAGAGTATGCTCAAGCCATCCATCGCTTCCGTCTCGCTCTCGAACGACCTTTGACTTGAGCGTCTCAGGGTTGACGACGACGTGGGCATCATGGTCTTGAACACGATTGAAAGCGCGATAGATGAGAGCGCTGTGATCTTTGGTGACCCAAGCTACTTCACCAATGATGAGCTCCTCAGGCTCAAACGCATCGACAGGAACAGGCCTGTACTCGCCCCCAGAAAGATCAAGAATGTTGAGCTCGACAGTAGGGTTCTTGGATCCAACCTTGGGGTATCGAAGGTCCAGTTCACGAGGATACGTAGGCGCAAGCTTCTGGTTATCCATGTAGTAAGGAATAGTGAAGGTGCCGACACCGGTCTCGTTGAAGCTCAGGAACGCAAGGAACTTTGCATCAGGCGACCACCAAAGCGCCGAGCGTCCACCGTAAATCTCCTCCTCGTACACCCAATCAGGCACACCGTGAAACATATCCGGTCCCCCATCGCTCGTGATCTGGTCAATCTTGCCGTCCGCATCACGAATGAAGAGATTATTGCCCCGCACGAACGCAACGGCTTCTCCACTCGGCGCAAACTGGGCGTACTGAATATCGCCAACTTGGTCTTTCACAAGAGGTTCACTCTCGCCAGACTCAACGTCAAGAATGAAATAATCAGCAAAATACGAGTAGCGGTATTGCTTGGTGTAGTTTGACGCGACGAGCACGCGCTTTGCGTCGCTGCTGATCCAATACTCGTGAAGATCCTTGGGGAGCTTATCGGCTGTGACGAACTTTGTTGTCTCTTCGCTGACGATGTCCTCAAGAACAAGATCGCCATTGTCGCCGAGAACAATATAGTTCCCATCTTGTCCAGCGGACGACCACTCTACACTCATGGTAGTAGGTCTCAATTTAGCGCTCGGACTCGTCTCATTGAAAGTGAGTAGGCGATCACCCTCGCCAACAGGTTGATGCGGCTGTCGAGGCGGATCAATCGCCAGACCCAACGGGGCGAGCGCCAAAAGAGTGGTCAGTAATTTCGCGACCATGATGAACGAGGTTGCAGGAGAGAACCTTGAGGAAAGAGGAAGAGAAAAAAAAAACAGGGCGTTCTTATAGAGGATTAAGTTCCGGGACGAGATTAAGCTTATACGGGGATCGGCAGGGCTAGAGAGATAGGCGCCTTCCCGCAGCGGTTTAGATGTGGAATCATACAGGGGTACGAGACCTGCCGCTTTGGACCATTTTTGCAAAAGATCCCCGTGTTATGTTGCGTTGGCCAAGACTTGGTTTCTTGGGAGGGCGACAAAAGTTCGTGAGGAGATAAGGAAGGAAGGTTATTAATTTTTTCTTGGTTGATAAGGTGATGGATCGTCCCTGAATTAAATTTGAGTCGGGGTTGGAGTGTGCCAATTACTGGAGTAAGCTGAGGGTAAATAAACACTGTGATCTAGGGTGATGGCCTACCCCTCACTTGGATTGTTGTCGTATCGCCTACAAATAAACAGTCTCGAAGAGGCAGAAAAAAAGATTCCTCTTATCATCCGAGCATAGACCTTTGACAAAGCGAACAAAGACCCAGCCTGCCGTCGATGGTTTCATGAGAACGATCCAGGTTCAAAAGAATCTAGACCAAGAGAATGCGGGTGACTTTACATCCTTGCCTGCCGTTTACACCCACCGACTTTCATCCCAAGTGACCGCGAAATTTAGATAAATTTAGAGTATCTTAGGGTAGTTTAGGATAGCTTAGGTAAAGCTTGACAGACTCTTAGACTAGATTTTTCAGTTTCGGGCCTCGCAGTACCCAAAGTCCAACTTGTACGAGAATAAGAAATAGTCCTGACTGTATTGTTAAAATGGAACTCAAACAAGATTACCGGTCTCGAAGCACGATTAATTCTACAATTTGCAGGGGTCCCGTTCAGGAAACAGTACTCCGTACATATAACGGTATTACTGCGCCCCTCACTTGATCAAGCTACAGTTAGATCACGCAATCAGATAAGGTTATTTGTCGATAAGAATTAAAAGAAACAGAAGTCTTGGCTTTACATACAATCTCAGTCCTTCGACGACTTATGCATTATGTGCAATTTGAAACGACAGATATCATGATACCTCGGGTAAGACCTTGCTGGGGCGGTTCGTTATGTTCTGATCATACGTATATATGTGTCGTGCTAACATACAATACAGAAACGAAAGATGAGCACAAAAAGGACGAGGATGAGAAGGGTGTCGACCATGCCGGGAGGGGCAAGCGTAAGGTTTCTGCTTCTGACGGTAAAGGTTCTCCATCACCTGGATCTCCTCGGCCTACAAAGATATCTGCTACGGAGAAGACGATGTATGATGCACTCCGCAAATGCACTCGCACTATGGCCATGAAACTCATGGACTCTCGCGATTCACTTCCCAAGTAGACCCTCGTACGCATTCGCGAACTACAGTTTCCCTAGATAACAAATGTTGTATCTCATGTGTAAACTATCTATGGCACCTGGAATAATAAGCCATAGCTGGAAAATGCCTCCAAGAATGACCATCGAGCATCACACTATCGCGAATTGTCTGGTATGCCCTGAGGGATATAATGGAAGTTTGTAGGGGATTATTTGGGGAAAATCATTCAACAGTCCGAGTTTCATCCGCTGGAAAGCATGCTAGGGTCTTGGAGACGGCCATAACTAGTGACTGATAAGTTCCATTGAAGTTCGCCGCTATAGTATCTTAATCATCTATGACAGCGTTTATCCATGGATGTATATACTCCAAGCCTCGCTTGTTAATCTCCCCGATACAATATCCCCATGTATCCTTGCTTATCCTTTGCAAGCCCTCATTAATGTCTCTTAACAGGATGGCCCATCTTTGCTCTCTAGCCCGATAATCGGGCTCTGATATGCTTTCCTTTATACAATTTGCAATACCCAGATGATACTCTGCTGCAGGTGAAAAATACTCTCTGTTGCAACCATAAGGATCTGCATTGACTCTGATGAGAAGTACCTCGAATCGTTCTTTGGCGTCATGTGGAGGCTGGACGTGTAGAGCACACTCCGTTCCACCCGGCATTTGAGCCTCTAAAACTTGACCGAGCAAGCGGTAAGCAGTAACAAAGTTCCCAATAGCCAGGGCATGTTCTTGAAGTCCAAAGAAATAACTGGTAGTGCTGTATGACTGATATCTCGAAGAATAAACCCCAAATTCTAAAATCAACGGGCTTTGCCAATCATTCATTGAAGATAGAGTGTGGCCAAAGCGGCGCAGTAGGTCTTTGATCTTGCCACCATCCATCTTCCAATGGGTATATAGACGGTGAAGGCATTGTGTGACGAACCATGAATGCAGTAGTGTTGTTGCATTCTTCGCCTCGTGTTGAGCTTTTAAGGAAACACCTTGCCGCCCTTCGCCAGTCGCACTTTGTAGGCGGCTTAGGAGGTAGTCAACAAGCCCCAAGCACGACTTCATTGCTGGAAACCCGTCGAACTCCGTCAGTGCGCGAAGCAAAACAGGAACAGCTTCTGTCAGACGAGCGATTGACAATTGGTCTACCAGTGTGGTAACAACAGCGTCCGACCTGGCTACCCTGACGATGTTTTCAAGGAACTCCAATTCTCTTTGATTGGAAGGAACTTTGAACAACATCGGATAACGCCAATATGAGTGACTGTGAAACAGGCCACGTTGTTGCCAGTCCCTCAATTCCTCAAACATGCTGCTTCGGCAAGATATATTGCCATGAAGCCCCTTGAGGGCAATATTTAACGCTGGGTGTAGCTGGGGGGTGTCAAAATTGGATGATAAATATGTCTGTCCGTCCTCTACCTCTAGATAGTAGCGTTTTGACATGTAGCATAGAAATCGGGTTTTGACTAGATGACCAGCAAATAACCTTTCGACTTTTTCAATTGATGACCATTGACAAAGTGCAAGACATTCACGTCCAAAATGTGAGTCGGTAATGAAGTCGAATGCACATCTGTGTACAAATTCGACCCTTGTCATGGCGTAGTCAAAAACGGCTTCGTTTCCAGCCCACTCGTCATGGGCATAATACAGTGTCTTTACTTCAAGGAGACCTCGGCAAACTAAGCGCAATCTTTGTTTTACCCTCTCGCATCTAGCTTGAAGATCCTTTGCTTTGATTTCTCGTCCTTCCCTCAGTAGCGACGTGAATGGCTTATCCTCCAGAGCTGTAGTTAACACGAGCAATGAGCGCATCGAGTGGAGAGCCGTTGTCTCAGAATGATTCGTATAGTAATAATGTTCCTCGTCGATATTGATTGCTGCAAGAGCTAGACTGAAGCAGCGAGAAGCATCGATTCTGTAAGTTGATAGCTTGGCATCATCTCCTGGGCGATTCCACATATCGACCAAGAGGTCGTGTAATTCCGATGGCGTCTGTGCGAGTCGCTCCTCGAATTCATGGGCACCACCTGAACGTATTGCTTTATTGAGGCTCTTGGCGGCTAAAACCACCCAGAGAAACACACCGTTTGCTTTGTTTACAACTGTTGACAGAAGTCGATATCGATCATAAGAGTTTAGACTGGATACCTCTAGCCTATTGTTCGCATAATGGTAGATATCTTTCCAATTCAGCCGATGGGTTCTGAGACAGGGCTGGCTCGTGAAGAACCGACAGAAAGGGTCCTCTTCCCTACTGGATGCACATAGCTTGATGTTGTCAAGTGTGAGCAAGTCGTAAACCACTTGCGTGTTCTGCTCGTCGCCCCACGGTAGGTCCTCGAACTCTTTAGCCTCGTCTAGCCCATCGAGGAAGATGCAGAAATTAGTGCCTGAGAATCTGATTGCCCAGCAGAGAGCTTTCTTTAGCTCATCCACATCCCAATCTCCACCGTCTCGCTTATCCTGGATATTTGGCTGCTTGGTCCATAGCTGTTGGGCGAGATCACGGTTCTTGTGAAGCACTTGATGGAGAAGGGAACGTGTCATACCTTCTATGTTTTTCTGTAGCGGCTGCCCTGGCTTCCAGAAATAGTGAGTGAGGATTTGGATGTTGCTATCCTGGACTTGCAGATGCTGCAATGTACGGGGATTAGTCGCAAGGAATTTCATGAGCGAGCTTTTTCCAGAAGCGGGCTTGCCGCTGACCCAAAATTGCTGGGTATCAGACTCTAGCCAGGCAGGAAATGAATTGAAATCTGATAGTCTTGTCGCATCGGCTGACCCTGGTACATCGCCACGATTGCAGTCAGTGGGGTTCTCGAAGACCCAACTGAAGGTACCGGGGTAGTTTTCAGAGATATGATTCTTGCGGCTGTTCATTTCAGGAAATCGGATACTTTGGAGCAGTTCATCGTGCTCTTTCTCGAAACTATTGCTTCGGTCGCGTTGGGCCATGTCCTGAAATTCTTGGGTCATCGAGTCACGGAAACTCGAAATGGACTCTTGCGTGGTAGCGAAGCCTGCATCGATAGCTGCACGTGTTGTTGCATGCTCCTGGGTAACTAGGTCCCTTGTCTTGAGTGACTCGGCTGAAAGGTCGGAAATCCGAGTGCAGCCATCTGCCAGCTGTGTAATGATTGATTGCAGGTTGGCATCGAGTTTATTGAAGGACTCCTTTGAAGTGATTTCTGCAGCCTGAGACTGGTTGCATATACGTTGCAGAACGACACCATGGAGAAGGCTCTCGTATCGTTTGAGGTTTACCTCAAGACTTTCGAGTTCCTTTCCTTGCCATAGAGTGGCCAGACTCTTTTTGCCCACCTTTATCTTCCCGCGGAATCCACGTCTCGATGCATCATCGATATGAAGCTGGGAGAATTTAGATTGCAGCTGGGCCATGGATTCTTCAAGCTTTTTGCCAATCTCAATTATCTGTTGTTGGTCTCGGCTCGGCGGCAAAGCTTGAGAGGTCGCCAAAGTTGAGCTGTTCATATCATCGAAGCAAGCTTTCGCGCTTTTGAGATAGGCCTCCAGCCTAGGGTCAGGACAGTGTTCATTCCGAACGTGTTTGTAAACTTGGAGAATATCTCTGCCGAAAGTGACGATCTGCATCGCATTGCAGAGAAATCCTATGCCAGCGATCGCGGCCTCGGCTCCCGACATTTTGGCGTTGTCTTAAATTTGAGAATATTTTGAACGATATTGTTGGGATCGGAATCGGATTTTAAGAGTGAGATAGTGAAAAAGAGAAACGAGAATGCTGAGTTGGCCGAGTGCGGGGTGACGTGTCAAGGCGAACTACTTTGCGGCTGAGCAAGGCAGACACAGTGTAAGAGATTGTATTGTAATTGTTTTTTTGCATACGCTATTGACAATATTGGCATGTCTTAATTTCTCTAGTGTGCATACGGCTCCCAATACACCGGGCGAAGTGAGTCAGCATTTTATTTTGATATCAGATAAATGTATGTACTTGGTCTCATAAGTATATAACAATAAATGTAACTGTATGGAGGGTCACCCTGTCTAGATGCTCTTAAAGACAGAAAGACTTGACAGAGCCTTTCCAGGCCACGCGAACAAAGTGTTGGAAGGGCACGAAGAACCAAGAGCCTGGTTGTTCATCCAAGCAGGCTCCCAGTAATACAATCCAGCTCCACCCTTGACCTTGCTAACAATGCTAGCAACCTTTTTAATAAACTGCGTCTGACCATCAGCGGAGAAGGGAATGTTCTTCATGTCGCTGGGAAAAGGTTGAGCGGGCGAAGGGCAAGACGTAGGCCAGTCAAGCTCGCTGACAAAGATCTGCTTGCCCCATTTGTTGGCCATGTTGGTAAGAGACGTCTCGAGCGCAGAGAACGTAGCGCCTGATCCGTAGAAGGGGTAGTATGACACACCCATGGCGTCGAAGGCATCGAGGGTCAGACCCTTTTGGTTGAGGACTTGGGTATAGAAGTATTCTTGGGTACCCCAGTCCCAGCCCTTGTCGAGATGGATCATGATCTTGGGCTTGGGGTTGATGGAAGAGTCCTTGATACCGTAGGCCGCAGAGTTGAGAAGACGTCCGATGTTGTAGTAAGATTTAGTTGAGCCGGTGGGGAAGAGAAGACCAGCTGTGATTTCATTTCCAATGGAGATAATCGCAGGCGGTACACCAGCAGACTGGAAAGCGTTGGAGACCTGCTGGGTGTAGTTGTACAGTCTCCAGGACAGGTTATCGATATCGGTAGGCCATCCGGAGGGAATAGCCTGGTGACCAGGATCAGCCCAGGTATCGCTGAAGTGAAGAGTGAGGTAGACACTCAGGCCCGCAGCTTTAGCACGCTTGGCGAGCTTGAGGTTGTAATCAAGGTTATAGTCGCCGTTAGATGGGTTCACCCAGACTCTTTGACGGACTGAGTTGACTCCGTTCGCGGCGAGGATCTTCTCAAGGGGTTGAGCGGAACCGCCGGCAGTGTATTGAATGCCCTTCTGTTCCTCGAGGAGAACCGAGGACCAGTCGACGCCCCTGTAGGTCAAGGCCAAAGCGACCGAGCAGTAGGACAGAAATGCCAGAAACCGAAGAAGTACCATTTTGACAATCGTGAGAGAACTCAAACAACCAATCTCTCCTCGACGAATGGCGTTGTCTTAAGTAGCAACTGACCATCCCAGACATGACTTTCAAGCGCACCATAAATACGCGGAGCTGTGTAGGATCCGTACCAGGATTGTCGTTATTCCTCCAATCACAGCACGGACGAACGATGTTTCACCAATTATTCCGACATGGGTCTAGCGCTCCTTAATGAACGATGAAACGTCGTGAGTGAAAGTTCGGAAGAGACATACCGTAATCGGGTATCTAGACGCGGAGCTAGAAGTGCCGGCTCCGAGGATTGACATGCTCTAATGGGACTTGTGCATGTCTTTCATCCGCCCGAATGGGAATGCATGGAGATCATAGTCACTATGATGTAGTGGGGTAGATGATCCGCCTGTCTATGTCTATCACTAAATGATGCTCTTGGCTGGATGTGTTGTTTGTATTCCAGACTTGTGGCTGAGACAGAACCCAGTGCAGTAGTAGGACTGGCCTCACGAGACAGAAAGGTGCAATACCTGTACACTAGCTCTCAGGTACTGTAGCCCATCATAAGGCTTGTAAAATGAGGCGCAAGGACATCCTAAGCTTAGGTAAAGGCTTAGTCTAAACTTTGCTAAACTCATAAGGATCGCCATAAAGTAGCCCAAGTTATCATAAACTGCCATAAGGATTCATAAACCTCATCATAATCTTGTCAAATCTATGTAAGGCTGCCATAATGCTTAACCCTAAAGCTCATTCCCAAGATCCCGCCGAACAATACATTTACCGATCTCTGGCTGGTGGTCAAAAAGCATGCGCACAATCATGCGCCCTAGGCAGCTCCCCAAAATTGCAAAGAATGCATTTTGATGTCGAGTAAAGGTAAGAATATACTGAATCTCCTCGCCACCCGGAACCTTCTCCCTGTGGTCGGGAATTGACCGGTGGATAGCCTCCTAAACCACCAGTTTGGTCTCCTTATTCATCACATGGTCGATCTAGACCCGTCGGAGAAGGGACGGCGACAGGGATTGTGCGTTTACTGCCGTTTCCCAGCTCTTCCAAATGATCTCAGACATCCTGGCCTCCAGGGATGTCCTCCATACGTACCAATAGTCGAACTTGCGTTCAAGTTCGCTCACTGCAAACGCTCCGCTCCGAGGAGCTGTCTTGACTAGCGCGCAGTGGTTTTTTGCAATTGGCGGTATACTGTAGACCTCACAGTAACTAAGGTCATTTGTATCAACGTTCTCCCGTCGGAGATATGTCATCGGGTCGTCATTGAGGGGTCGACGATGTGGAAGATATTGCTTATGCTGGATAGTGTATTTGTCGTCAAGGGGAGGGTGAACTCCTCTGACCTTCCTGGTGTCATGTAAATCGGCGACCCGTCTCCAACGCGGGTTCGTAGAGTTTGTACCGAGCATGTGTCTGCTCCGGCGTGCTTGTATCAGGATTAAACTCCTCCATCGGATCGGGGGACTGTCCACGCGGGTTGGTATTGTTCTTTTTGGCAATGGTTCAGGATCGATTGAATAGTGTGCGGAGTAATGATTGAACGGGACAGTGACACAGGATACCTTCGGACGAAGACATGGTAGTTCGAGGATGTCATGTCTATTCGTAACAGCTACCGCTCGAGTCCTCGTTAAATGATCCGTGGCTGATGGGGATCGCAGCTTGGTTTCGTCAATGGTTCTGTCCATTCCGATCAGCCCAGCAACACCAAGCCACATGGTCAACCAACATTCTCAGGACAATGCGCCCCAAACGACTCCCAGGATTGCAAAGAATGCATGCTGGTAACGGGTATACGTAAAAATGATTGGATGGTCTTCTGGGATTCCACCATCATTGCGTCGGGGCGCGCGCTGTTCTCTTTCGGCAGTCGATCGGCGGATGGCCTCCTAGACCACGAGTTTTGTCGCCGGATTGACAATGGGGTCGATCCAAATGCCCCTTGGCGAGGACAGGGACTGCGATTGACCGTGGGTGACTTGGACAAAGGCATGTCAGAGGAGCTCTGACATCCTTGCCTCGGTGCCCGCAATTGACTGGTCGTTATTACGTTCAAGTTCCGTAATAACGAGGACACCTCCCCAATCGTTCGCCTTAACAATAGCGACAGGCCCATCTCCGCGTATTTGGCTATACACTTCGCACCAGTGTAGGTCATTTGTATCGATATTATATGTTCGTAAAAAGCGCTCCGTTTGTTGAGATAGGGATTTCCTCTTGAAGCCGCCAAAGTCCGCTGTATACCGGCCTTGGATAGGAGGGTGGACAGCCATAGGCTGAGTCTGACGTCGGAGTTCGGCGACGAGTCGCGACTTGTCGGGATTGCAGCTTGATCAAGTGCAGCGACGAAGAGATGCCAAGAGGTGAGAAAAAGGGTATCGGGCTGTTGGACGAAAGGATTGAGGTCTGGGAGACGCGCGTAGAAATGAGAATCGGAGGGACGGCAAGAAGTGCAAAGTTGAGGAGAAGACAGAATGAATGACGAGTGGGGCCGGGTGCAGCGGGATGGAGTTGATGACGAAGACTGATGAACAAACTTGACACGGTTGTTGTTGTTGAAATGGTGAGGACTTGAGCAGGCAGAGCGACGTTGCTGTAGTCTGTTGTTGCCCTCCGAGCTCCTTCCTACCAGCAAAGGGCTACACGACGTCATTTCCTGTGAGAATCACTTCCGTTTGCAGGGGGAGCAAGAAACTGCAATTATGAGAAACGTGTCCAAATAAAATCATCATAAAGTCCTCTAAGCTTTTGATGATTTACCTAAAACTTTTCATCTCTTAGGGCCTAAGCTTTCATCCATCCTTGCCGTTGGTAGTGCGAAATGGATGAGTGGTCAGCCTGGCGGCGCTTGCGCCCACTCCGACGAGGCTGAGACGACTCTACGGCCAGAGAAGGATCTTCAGGAGCTTCGGAAACCCGGATTCCCTTCCCAGGGGGAGGAGTGTCTTCACGTTCTTCAGGCTGTCGGCGCCGCTTCTGCGGAGTGGCTTGCGCCGCCCCACGACGAACAGGACCTTGGCCAACTGTGCGGACCGTATTTCGAGCTGCCGGCTTCCCTTCGACGATCAGACGCTCCATGTCGTTGACGAACTGATCGGGAAGTTCGGCTAGGGGGAGCTTTGCCCTCTTGCGATCGTCCTTCCCATCGACCGGCGTCTCCAAGGCAGTGGGAAGGCGTCGGAGTACGGCCACAAACACATTGGCCTCACGGCATTCGCGGACGTAAGCGTGGACGCTTCGGCGAATGTTCTCCTCGATGGTAGCGGTGTCGTGGACCTCGGGGGCAGTCTAGGTAATTAATCAGAGCTGACACGTCGGCGAAGCAACAGGGATCTTACCTGAACGCGATAGCAGAGCGTGAGAAGCTCCCGATTGGAAGCAAGTTCCTGCGCTCGAACGACAGGCGCAACGCCATTGGGGTTACGAGAAGAGGTGCGTAAGGGACCAGAGAGCCGACGCCGCTTTCAGGACATACTGCATAACCCGTCACTTTTGCAGGCGAGTCAGCGCTCTATCGGTACTGAACTCGTCGTGAAGGGCGTTCCAGTACGCCTGTATAACAGGCTTGAGCTCAGGTGGGATCTATCTATCTTTTCGTCAGACAAAGGGATGTAGAACCATCGACAATGCAATAATACATACAGCGATACATTTCTTGTGGTCCCTCTTGCAGAAGGTGCACCGAGATGGTTCATCAACGACGACACATACAAGTCGCCCATCTCGATGAGCAGAGAGGACGCAATGCAGACATGGGAGCTCAGTGCCCCACAGGCGATTAAAGCCCGTCTCTTCGTCAAACTCAAACTGTGCAAGGGCAGTTGTAACGGCGGCGGCGATGGACATCTTCGAGGATGGTTCGGCGACGGAGTGCAATGTTGTAGGAATCTTAGATGTTGAGAGAGTATTATACTTGTGAAAAAAACGTTAAAAATCCGAGATGAGGGCTGGCAGAACAAACGAAGATCGGGAGGAGGCCATGGAAGCCCGTCTCTTCGTCAAACTCATACACCTCAAGGGCACTGGTGACGGCGGCGGCGATCGACATACAGCATGCACCCGTGATGTCGAGCGTTTGAACGCTGGGTCCTGCTTCGGTTTTGGCCTTGTTGGCTTTGGCTGTGGCTTGTCGGTTGATGGTGGCATTGGGGGTTATCTGTTGTTTTGTCGTCGCATCCGAGCACGGCGAGCAGGCCCACACAGCTTCTCACAGTTCGACAACGATCGGCAATCATAGCGTGATGTTCTCGGATCGCAGGAGTAAAGAGTGTATTATGAATGAAATATGTCAAAGATGCGAGTTGAGAACGAATGATGATAAGGGAGAAAGAAAAGTTTATCCAAGTTCGAGAAGAGATTTTCTCTCAAGAGATGCCGGCTTTTTCGTAATGTCAGGCTGACAGACCCAGTGCTCTTGACACTGCTGACAGCTGGCAGACCAGGTTCTATCAAGCCCAATCGCAGCGCGATATCTAAACACCAGCTGGAATCGAATTGAGCAAAGGAAAGCTCCACTACATAAACCTGGACTGTTCGTTGTAACGGATTTGCGCTTTATGCAGTAAATGCAGTCTTGACTTTTATAAGTTAGGTGCCATTAGAACAGCTCCTCTCAACTTGGGTCGAGCCACACGGTACCACAACACTTGTGCCTTCAATGAGATTACAACAAGAGTTAAACACTGGCCACTGCGATAAAACTATATTTCGGGGAATCGAAGCGCCACGTATGTATATAAAGTATTGGCCACCAGTAACAGACTAACAGTGCAATGTACTGGCCTAAAGTTCGGAAGAGCGCATCACCAAAAGTTAAAATTGAGTGTTGAGAACATGAGTCACTAAATCTTCCCTAATATAAATTGTTCCCGCTCTCTTAAGCCATACCTTGGGATCTCGAATATTCTCCTCAACATTTATTCTCAAAACCAAAAGACTACAAAAGCCATGTCGAACTCCCCACCAGTGAAGACCCCGACTACTACGGACAGCGGACAGGAGATTATCTCTATGAGTTTGCCTGGAGAGTCTGCTTATCGTCTCTTCTCAAAGGAAGTATTTGACCCCACTTCCATTTCCAATGTGGATGGCTACGATGAGAAGTATCTTGAGCCTACGAGAGGGACTTTGAGAGAAATACCAGATCTTATCTACAAGGAACTGAAAATCATGTTTTTCGAGGATTCCGCAGCACAGATACGCATGTGTTCAAAATTCAAGATTGGATGGCGTGTAGATCACTGCATGACAACGATCAACACTACATACCTATCAAAGCCTTTAAATAATGCTTATCATCTCGACAACTGGACAAATAAAGAAGCAATGGTCTATTTTGAACACAGGTCAGTCGATATTTCCGATAGCCAACGGATCGCCAGGTATATATTCCGCGAGTGGTTGCGACTCCACAATGGTCGACCATTCTTCCAGCGCGGTGGCTTTTTTGGTAAACCTTTACGCCTACACGAGAATGGCCCTCAAAGTCTCCAAGAGATCTCCACCTTTCATAGCGATCTCTCTCATCACGTATCGACTCACGTAGAGCACTTGGTGGAGTTCAAGGAGTCCAAAGGGTTCAAGTCCAGTTACCCTGGAGAGCCAATTCCTAAGGATGAAACTCCAGGCGACATACGATCTTGGCGAGAGCATGGCTACCACATGTCACATCTGTTCCGCGCCCTGTACCTGGTTGTTGATAAGCAATCGCTGCCTGAAAATACAGGCATTTCCCATGAACTGCCAGGTCTGGAAGGCAATGACAGGATTCATAAATTGGACCATCTAGTGGAGAAAGAGGTAGAGCGGTGCACAATTCTCCTTGTTAAAACTGGGGATGATGCACATCTCTCTTCGCCCATCAGTTTTCTGCCATTGTTCGAGGGTGGGCTGGCAATGAATGTCGACCGTGATGACTACACTGGTGGTCCTGAAGACGAAGAAACAGCCGTTCGAGTAAAACTAGACGTCGCGGTTCGTTTTATATGGGATTTACTGCAGAGGGAGAAGGAGTCCATTGATGAGCTGGAGAAGAGGGACCAAGTGTTGGAAGAGGAACAAGATACTCGGTTTCAAGCCTGGTTAGAGGATGTGGTGTCTCACTCGGAGGAAGTGGGAATGGATCATAACCTCTTTATGTGGTTTGCTTCCCGCCGTGCTCTTGCGAGGGCAAATGGCGAGGCTTTAGACAAAGAACAGGTATATCCAGTTTGGGAGCGATTGAGGAACTGGGATTTATAGATGCTTTTTAACAGAATTTGTGGCAATTACGTCAATCCTCCATTTCATAGCATTCTCCATGCCTGTTCAGTACATCATCTGGTTCAAGTTGAGTGTTCATGACCCGTGGTTTTCTTCGGCTTGCTACTTCGTGGTAGGCAGCTGTTTGCCAGTGCCAGCCTGTCAGCCAAAACTGGGGCAGTGATACACGGTCAACTTGTTTGCTAGCACACACTCAAGTTCAACAATCAAGAAAACTTTTTAATCTTTTGTTTTTCTCCCTCAAGCATCTCTTCGTGATCTCTGCTTCTGCTCTCTCTTTCGATTCTTCGCTGCATCATCGCCGCGTTCTTTCCCCCTTGTCAGCTCTTCACGCGTTATTTGTTTGCGTCAACACTTCCGCGATGGCCTCCCTTGATCACATTGCTACCGTCTTCTCTGATTACAAGTACGACAAAGATGTTGGTTTTGAAAGCAGCTGTGGTGTACCCTGCCTTGGTTGCATTTCGGAGATCGATCGCGATATATCATGCGAATGTGTTACGAATGATGATCCCGCTCTTTGTGTTGTCTGCAAGCATTACAACAAGACATGCGGCTCGGTAAGCCTCATTGATGAGTGTGTTGGCGATCTGTCTAACTGCTTCGTTTAGATCCCTTCAGAGCTTCTCGGCGCGGCCCAAATGTACTGGAACTTTGTGGCTCGCTTGCATGGTCAAGAACGTTTCCTCCAGAGACGTCAGATCTGGCGCATTCGTCGTGCGCTTAAGGCTTGCGGGTCAGCATGGCGTGAACTCGAGGGGCATCTCATGAATCCGAACAACCTAGCGATACTTGGTCTCCAAGAGTCAGTTGCATCTCGCGAGACCTTGACCCTTTCCATCATTCAGTCTGTGAGTCCACCTTTCGCTGAAGACTCCCGAATATCATGGAGCTCGTTAACGTACCGACATGTCAGGCAGGTGCCAGCCTTTCCATCGATGAGATCCACGAGCGTCTCGACGCTGTCAAGCCACCCTATGCTCGCCATGGAAACTGTGTTGTCGCCCTTCACAATGCCCTTGCTCACTTGTCCGTCTCCAAAGACGTGCTGGTTGGTTCAGTTGAGGAAGGGATGTGCGACTCCTTGTCTGATGGATCCCCTTTTGAGCTCTTAACTGCTATGTGTGAAGGTGGGGGTGTTGCCGCTAACTGTAAAGTCGTCCACAATGGTATGCCTGATTATCCTCGCCATTAATGAGGATGAATCGAGAGCTGAGTCTAATGAGTTGTCCATGACTCTCAACTCTTCTTATGGCGAGACCAATGGCTATGATACGGAGGAACAGGTTAATGATGGAATAGCGTAAAGATTGAGTGAAGTAATAGTAATAGAGGATACGAGGCTGTCTTGCGAGGATGTTTCGCAGTTCCATCGACGGTCTTCTCGTTTCCATTCTTGTCGGCTTTCGTTCTCTAGTTAGTATAGCCAGGCTTAAAATCTTGGCGTAATAAATTCTCCAGCTTCGAGTGGCTCTCTTGATTCAGTTTTGTGAAGCCACACGAGATGTAACTTGATTGGTAATTGTTTTCTTCTTCCAGCAATGTTTGTCCCTAGTTCAATTGAGAAGTAGTTGAGACCTTACGTCTGTGCACGGTGCTGCTGTCATGTTCTACCGTCTCATTCATGGATTCCAGATTACAAGTGACGTTGCGGATTAATTAATAGTTGTCTGACCATGAAAGAAACATGCCGTGTATCCGGATCAAAGCCACAGACATGTCAGGGGAGCAAACAAATTTATTTGACACGACGAAAGACTTGAAACTTCTGGTCTCGAAACAAGGTACTGAAAATAGCTAGTCTAAAGTCCACTAAATTTGTACTGAACTTGGTCAAGTCTTTTTGTCAGAGGAGAGGCCCGTCCCAGGGCCCAGACTCACTGCCTGGCATGGCACGTTCAGGTCATGATACAAACTATCGATGACCTGACGAAGCAATATAGTCGCATTGACAGTAAACATAACCCGTGTAATTTAACTGATGTTTCCAAACCATCAGCTTTCCCTTTCCTCCAATTGGTGGAATAGTCCTTCACCCATCAATGCAACACTCCAATTTTCTCCGCGTCTCAATCCGGAAAGGCTCGAGGTTTCAAGTCCCACTGAAACACACCACGATCGGTTATTATCCCAGGCTAAACTCGCTCTTTATCCTCGCCAGAATCAGGAAAATGATCAGTTTTCTGCGTCTGCATGAATTCCCACTGTGGGGACGACTTTAGCCAAAAAGGCCCCTCGGCATATCCGCCATGTACCGAATCCGTACAGTTCCAGGCTGAGGACCAAGCGGTGTGGAGTTCGTTCAGGAACGAGATTCGTTCGCTAGTGGAAACAACGGCTGGCGGAGGATACACGTCCGTTCGATCCATTGGAGCATGGTCAGGAGGTGAGATCGATCCATGGGCCTCCACATGGCCTTGGGGGGGACGGGTATATATCTTGGCTGATACACCATCCCACCATGTTTTGTTTCCTCATACTTCTTGGCACATCATTCTTTCAGCACATTTCATCATGCAGTTGACTTCCATCATCAGCTTCTGGGTGCTAGCCCTCATCAGCAGCGTCCTCGGTGCGGAGCCTGTTCCGCGAGGTCAGCTCACGCAGGTCAACAGCTATGGCAACAACCCAACTGGCACTAAGATGTTCTTGTACGTTCCCAAGAACTTGAAGTCCAACCCTGCTGTCGTCGTTGCTATTCACTATTGCGGTGGTACTGGTCAGGCTTACTACCAGGGCACCAAGTGGGCTTCCAATGCTGAGAAGTACGGATTCATCGTTGTGTACCCCCAGACTCCTTATTCCGGTGGCTGCTGGGATGTCTCTTCCAAGATGGCCTTGACCCATGAGGGTGGTGGTGACAGTAACTCTATCGCCAACATGGCCAAGTATGTCCTCCAGCAGTACAAAGGTGATGCCAAGAAGGTCTTCGTCACTGGTGAATCTTCCGGCGCCATGATGACCGTAAGTAACCCCAGGCACTCAATGGGACCCGACTAACAGAACAGAACGTCATGCTTGCTACCTACCCCGATGTCTTCGCCGCAGGAAGCGCCTATGCTGGTGTCCCCGCCGGTTGCTTCGTCAGCCAGGCGAACCAAGCCGCCGCCTGGAACTCAACTTGCTCTTCAGGAAAGTCCATCTACACTCAGACCCAGTGGGCCAACGTCGTCAAGAACATGTACCCCGGCTACAACGGCGCTCGCCCCAAGTTCCAGATCTACCATGGAACTGCCGACGCTACTCTCAACGTCCAGAACTACTATGAGGAGATCAAGCAGTGGACTGGTATTTTCGGATACTCTTCCAACCCTCAGTCAACTACCCCCAACACTCCCGCCAGCCCTTACACTCGCCAGGTCTTTGGTGAGAAGTTCCAAGTAAGATACAGAGCACCGTGATGCATAGAATTATGGCTGACATTCTTAGGCTTTCTTGGGCACGGGTATTGGACACGGTAATCCTCATTTCGATGACAACGATCTCAAGTGGTTTGGCTTTATCGTAAGTCATGCCCAAACTTCTATCAACGCCAGAAACTGACATTTACATGTAGTAAGCCACTCTACAGATCCAAAAATCTTAAACGATGGGATCTTCCAGAAACACCCGAGATAACAGTCAGCAGGGTTGACCTAAAACAAATTTAAGTTTCTACGAACTATATTTATCTACCGTAAATATCATCAATACAATGTATATATTGCATCAAAAATCATCACTTTGCTGCACACAATGACCGTATTAGAGCCTTTGACCAGCACCGTTTCTCAGTTTGTTCAGCTTTCTATGTCTTTTATTCTGAAATTAGATCCTCTGCCATTGCTGGTCGATGACCTATCCCATGATTCGTGTTCCTTGATCGGGTGTACAGTTGACGATTCCTGTGAACTTGAGAGTCTCGGTACCAGGATTGTCCTGGCATACCACGCGATACCTCCCGCTTTTCTCTTTCCCATTGGGCAGAGTCTGCTTTCAAGTCTTCTATCATCGCCTAGAACACAGGTCAACATTGTCTTGTCCACGTGTGAGAGCAAAATCGACTGTAACTTACTGTAGTCATATCCTCGTACGCCGTTATAAAGTATCCCTGAACTGCCTGGCCAGTTTGAGGGTTCTAGAATTTTGAGAGAAGCTGGGTTAGTTTCGATTGTAGCACTTGCGGGTATATATTCGTTCCTACGTACCTCATAGTGTCCAGGTCGCACAAGGGCATCGTTCCCGAGATATCGACAGATATCAGCTGCAATGACCTCTCGAGCAATGCCATCTCGCGGTAGGAAGTATTCTTTTTGCCTCCCGGTCCCGCCAGTGTTAGATTCCTTAGGTGGTAAAGTGTGCACGCCTGTCTCGGGTATCGAATGCGAATTCAGTGGCTCCTCAGGCTGTTTGGTATCATCGCCTCGCTTGTCCTGATTAGATATCATGTCCACTGACCCTTCACTTAAATCACTCTCGCTTCCACGTTCATCCTTGTCATCCGATTCTACTGTCGGTAAAGCGAACAGTGCTAGTTGCTCTTGATGTCGGCCCACGTGACGCTGATACTGTGAGGCGGATCGCATCATTTCAGCACAAAATGGGCATGGGACGCCCCGACTAATGTCCATGGGCTTCTGGCTCAGATACACAAGCGCATCTAGGTCCGTGGTGTTTACTGATCCCGCGTGACTTCGAGAAACATGCTTTATGCATTCGGAAGGAGAGGAAAACTCCAGGTCACACGCGAATGGGCATGAGTATAGCTTCCAGTGAATCTGTCTCACGTGCTCCATCCACTGGTGTCTCCGGGAGAACTCTCTCCCTGGAGTATTACAGTCCTTCTCCAAACATATATATGGCCGCAAATCGCCATAGACGTGTTTTCTAGAAATATCTTTAGCTGAGGCTCGAAGATTTGGGGTCGGGCGACATACTTCCACGAACTTCTAGTATCCGCAACAATGATTGTGTAACAGAAGGGGCATTCGAATGGACCATCTGATGACTCTTTCGGCAAGGGGGGTATTCGACATTGATCCACGCTTGTTAGCGAAGTGGCATATGACGTTTGGGAAAAGCCAGAGTCTGAGCCCTCGCCCCTAATAGCATCGATGGGCAAGGGCTGACCACCACTAGCGGCATCTTTCAGATACTCTGGCAGTGACGATGCAATCGTTTCACCGTCACCTCCCTCGTGCGTGAGACCCTGCGATAGTTTTGTACAGTGAGCCAATCTGTAATTAAAGAACTGACGCCGTCGACTTATCGCCTTGCCTAGTCTTTCGGCCAGTAGAGGATCTATGCTTCTAAATTTCGAAGAGACGTGTTGAATGTCAAAGATCTCATAGTGAGATGTATCAATCGAGTGAGACTTGATGAAGCGATCGTGGGGTGCAGGGTTTCGTATGGTCACGCTCAATCGAAGGAGACAGTTCACCACGTCCGCGACATCAGCGGAAATCTGATTCAATTCTGTATCAGGGTCATCAGACTCATCGAACTCTTCATCAGCAGTGATCTGGTCCCAGGGAACCTCTATTCCCATGAGGATGTCATGGGCATCTTGCATGAGCTCAACCAGGTCTTTGAGAAGACTGAGCACCTGGTCTTTTACATTCGAAGAGTCTCGAAGTCGGTAATCGAGAGAGCTCGGGCCGGTGCGATGAGCGCCGATATTTCCAGTCCACACATTGAATCGCGTCTGCTGGTCCGCCATATCCCTTCCGAAGGTCGGCGAGTTGCAGGCTAAGTTTTTGGGTACTCTGAGGATATTGGAAAAGCAATCAATGCATTTTGTAACGGCGGTTGCGATTTCTTGATCCATTTTAGTCCAGTCCGTTTAGATACAAGACAGAGACCAGGTTTTCGTTGACAGAGAAGTGAATAACTGTGCTAGGTTCATCCTCAATTTCGGTGAGATATTTTTGATAACAGGTGAGAAATAAATCAGCTGATCAGAATGTATCGAATCAGAGATGATCATTCAATGTGTCACCTGAAAGTGCATATTTCCCCGCTCGAGCTGAAAAGACAGAACCTCATGAGTAAGACCTCGTTTTCCCTCGATAGTTATTCTCCTCAGATCCTTTCCAAATATGTCAGGGCTAGAAGTCGCTGGGATCGTTCTTGGCTCTATACCTCTTCTGATCATTGCACTTGAGAAATACACCGAGGGTCTCTCCACTTTGCACCGATGGCGCAAGTACAAGCGCGAGCTCCAGAGCCTGATTCGCAACTTGGAAACTGAACAGATCAAACTCCAGAATGTCTGCGAAAAGCTTCTCCTGGACCTGGTCCCTCATTATAAGATCGAGGCGTTGATCGATGACCCGATGGGAGATCTTTGGCGTGAAGAAGAAATGTTGAAGAAAGTTCAGTTTCGTCTTGGGAACGGCTTCAAGGTTTTCCAAGACACTGCCAATGATCTGAGGGCAAAGGTTTTTGATCTTGAGAGGTTGATCGAATCGCAAGGTGAAGGGATGTTTCTGGGCTTCAAACGAGCTGTTTTCACATTGAGCCGCTCACAATACGCAGATATCTTGGCGGAGATCAGAGACAGCGTATCGAATCTCGAGAACCTGACTGACCGTAACATGGAACTTGAGCCAGCAAGGAGTGTTAGATCGAAGCAGAAACTCTTTACACTTCTTCGTGATCTATCAGAGAGTCTGTACCGAGCCTTGAAGTCAAGCTTGACTTGCTCCTGTAGACATGATATCGGGCTGGGGCTGGAAACCAGAAAGGTTGAGGTTTTTCCAGGGGACGACGAGCAAAAGATGGTCGGCTTGACCAGCTTCAAGATCAGCGTGTCTTACAAGACCGATGTTGGACCTCTTAAGGCATGGCAAGACTTCCATCTACAACCGCAGAGGCTGGGTCCAGGACCATCGCACCCGAACATTGTACCCTTGTCTTCTAGCCGGCTGGGCAGGACATCCGGCAAGAAGAGAGTCCAGTTCTCAGATGCACCACAAGCGTTTCTAACCACGGCCCCTCCAGCTCCTAGAGTTGCCCAAGTACCTACGTCATTGACCACCACAGACAATACGGATCCAGGAACTGCATCCTCAGACCTCTGCCAAATCACCAAGGACAACGCCAACAATTTGTTAACAAATGCTACACCCAAGACATTTGGAATCATACACGATCGCTCACACCATGTGGCGACAGAGTTCCAGTTACGTCCTGTCCCAGTCTCACCCTTTCAGAATCCTCAATCTATCGGTCTTGTCTCACTGAGAGATATCCTTCGTCAGACGAATAAATCAACGCACTTGCCCGCGCAAGATCGCCATAACCTTGCGGTCATTATCTCCTCAAGCTTTCTTCAGCTACACGGTAGCCCTTGGTTGCCAGGCCATCTAGACAGTCGAGATATCTTGTTCTTTACATACCAAGGCAGCCCTCTCTTCACTAAGCCACTTCTGATGAGGAGTCTCCCAGACAGCAAGGGCAATCCTGGGTGTAACAGAGTGCAATCACCACCCTCTGCAAATCCTGCGCTGTGGTCATTGGGATTACTCTTGATTGAGCTGATTCTCGGAAGAGCTTTAGACTTTAATGGCAAGCAGCCAAGGGGATCAGAATATTTTGTCGCATATGAGCTCATCCCTGAAGTTCGGATGATTAGTTTGAATTACGCAACTGCAGCTATGCGATGTCTTGGGGGTGAATTACACAGCACGGAATACCTATCGGGAGGTGCAGACTTTTGTCAAGATGTCTATGCTGGGATTGTCGCTTTATTGGAGAGGGATCTGAAAATGCTTAGACCAGAGGAACAGAAATACTGCACATCTAGATGACGGGGACATGGCATATCATGAGAAGAAGGCTATTATCAGGAAGTAAAGAAATAACTTGCTTCCGCTTCTTCACAGATTTACTGTACTTACTAGGTTTTTCTAAGAAGTAGTATCACTATAAGATTATTCATTATCGATTGTGATTAAAGGCATACTTAAAACTGTAAGAGTTAGATCCCAGCAGAAACATGACGACCATGGTCCATTCATATCATCGTTCACTGCTATTCACTGACCAGCAACCCTCCACATCACGGAACCAGCTCCAGAACCCGTTCTCTCTTCATGCATTCACCAGGAATTCTGTACCACTTTTTAAATCAACGGTACAACCTCCTTACAAGGGCCACTGTCTTTTTTTATCGCGCATGTCCACCTTACCTGAAAACCCCCTCCTCAAATGTAACAGCAGACGGATGACAACCAACAACCTGGCAAATGCTTAGACACCATTGGTCAACAACTTGTCGCCTATGCATACAACATGCAACAATGTCATGATATGTACCTTGTCACTTCCGTTGCTGGCCTCGCTTCGGAATGTCCCCACCCGACTCGACTTGTGCGTTGTAAACAACCAACAGTTTAAAAGAATTTGACCCTGCTCCTTTCTCTTTAATTACTTTGTTGTTTCCTTTAGTTTGCCATCCATTCCTTTTAGGAGTTCCTACTATTGATACAATGTCCAACACTAGCAGCCCAAAGAGCCGATCTCCGCGATCGCCCCAGGATCCGTCGGTGGCAGTCAACGAAACAATCGCAGTTGACGACCCTCAAGATGAGGAGGAGGACTTGACCTTGGGGTCTGACGCTGAGAGCTCGACTGCCTCTATTTCATCGAGCATTCTTAATTATCGTACGATCAATGGCAGAACCTTTCACAGTGAGAGAGGAAACGCGACGTACTGGGGATCGAACGATGAGCGCCAAAGCGATGCCATGGATATCGCGTGAGATACCTACCCCTCCTGCAAAAGTTGTGCGACCTCTCGCCTAACAGATCACTACCCAGTCACCACATATGGACACTCGCCCACGACGGAGAGCTTTACTTTGCGCCTCTGGAAGACAACATACAGGTTCGTTGAACTACATAATACAATAATGTTCCTATCGTGTTGCTGAGCCATTTTTTGCCAATTATCAGAAAGCTCTTGACGTTGGGACTGGAACTGGTATGAAATGGCATTCCCTGTGTGATCCCGACATTGCCCGTACTAATTTATACTGCAGGTATTTGGGCTATGTAGGTTACCTATCAAACGGTAGTGTACCAACTCTTAACCAGTTTTCAGTGACTTTGCGGACAAATTCCCTGGGTGCGAGGTCATTGGTACCGATATTTCGCCCATCCAGCCCGGCTGGGTCCCACCCAACTTGAAATTGTGAGCTATTTGACTACAGTTGTATTTTATATCTAACTCCAGTATCAGCGAGATCGAAGATTGTACCCAACAGTGGACATTCCCATCGGAGTCATTCGATTACGTCCACCTTCGTTATCTGGTCGGCTGCATCCCAGACTGGACAGAGCTTTTCAGCCAGGCATACAAGACTCTTAAGCCTGGTGGCTGGGTCGAGAGCTTTGAGATTTCTCCGACTGCAGAAAGCGACGATGGTACCGTCACATATGACTCTGCAATGGCTCAGTGGGGAAGGATTTTTATCCAGGCTTCCGAGAAGATCGGCAATAGCTTTACCGTTGTCGACGATAAAGTCCAGAGGCCTGCTTTACAAGAGGTGGGATTCGTCGACATTCATGAGTGGGAATTTAAGGTAACGTACAAGGTCATTCTGCTGCAACATCAACAACTGACTTAAAGAGTGTCCCTTGAACCCGTGGCCCAAGGACCCCAAGCTTAAAGAGATTGGTCGGTTTGGAGAGGTCTTCCTCACCCAGGATACTGAAGGTTTTGTAACATTGGCCGCCAATCTATTGGGGTGGTCGATTGAGGAGGTCCATGTTTATATCGCCAAGTTCCGACGTGAGATTCGGAACCGGAAACATCACGTCTATATACGTCTTAGGGCTGTCTGGGCACGTAAGCCAGAGGCAAAAGAAGAGCCGACACCCGCATACGCATGAAGTTATACGGATTCACATCAGAAGCTAGTAGCCAAGCGGGTCGTGACGGAAGGGGGCATGGGACAGCGATACGCTCTAGCGATCACTTCTGGTCGTTTCGACCGAGGCAGATGCTGCGAGCTTAGGCAATCCAGCCGTCGGAATATAAAGTTACCTAAATAAAAGTATCAAGCAATAAAGCCAACGCTGTTCAGTCATCGTCCAGCTATCCATTTCAGAAGTCCGCCTGCTTGGATGATGCATCTAAATATAGCAAAGGCAATGCCCTTAAGATTTGCAATACTTATCCGCCAATGCGAAGAGTTGAGAGTTTTCTGCGCTCTAGGAACTGACACCTTGTCGTATGCCGCGACAGCATTGCCAATTGAATCCGAAGTCGACAGAAATCCAGCCAGGTCCCATCCATCTGCCAAAGCCATGTTGGCACCATTTCCAGCAAAGGGACTGACAGCATGGTTACTGTCTCCAATAAAGACCACACCAGGAAGAACGTTCTCATGGTTGAATGGTTTCTTGTCGCGCGCTGGGATAACAAAAGCCGTTGAAAGGGCCTGTCGAGTTTATCAGACTTGCAAATGGCTCTGCTATCTCGCTGCAATGCTGTCGCACTTCATCCAGGAGTGCACGTCCATCTCCGCCAGTAGCCTGAGCTGGCATCTCTTCAGCCTTGCTAAAAGCCCAGATAACAGTTTTGTCCTCGAAGGGGCTCACAAAACAGCTATTGCCGTATCCAGAGGCCATAATACCCCATGAATCGGCCAAGGGATTCGGAATGCCTTGTGGAAAGACTGCGAGACCACCGATTTGAGTAGCCCCTGCGTAAAGCAGCTCGTCGTCTGGCCGAAGTGAGGCCCTGATTTTGCTGTGTGCGCCGTCCGCGGCGATCAAAAGATCGCAGTCGATCAAGTGTTCGGATTTTTTCGGTGAGGAAACAGTAATCGAAAGGCGACCATCATCTAGTAGCTTGACGCCCAAACATTGTGACTCCCATAGAATACTAATCCGCAGATTTTCAGCTTCCTCGATCATAATGTTTCTCAAACTAGCTCTCGGAATCCGCAATCGCGCCATAGGGAGGTCCCCATATGGTTTTGCAGGGACAGCAATCAACTCGCTCCAGTTTTTGTCCCATATTTTAAAAGGCATGCTGTCAGTCCCTGGAGTTGCTTTCTCAATAACGCGGTGCAAGAGGCTGAGATTTTCGAGAATCTGCACACCGCCATCCTGTTCCATGCCGAGTGAGTAGTCTTGCCTTTAAAGGTCAGGATGTCTAGAATTGCGATCGTAGATCGTTATCTTGGGCGGAGAAAGCTTTCGATTCCATCTCTTGGGCAATGAGATAGCAAATGCTAAACCAGCGATGCCAGCTCCAGCAACAATAATAGACTTCTTTTCCAGGAAGTGAGCTTCTTCTGCAGTCATATTCAGATTTCGTCCCAAGGAAAGATAAGTAATCTCTAGACGTGAATAGAATTATCAAATATAAATCGCATTTACTGGCCATAATCGAAGAGAGCAGACTTGATGCTATCTTATGGACAAGCTCGGTATTTCCATTCCCGATCGAGTTTCAGATTCGGGTTGTAGATTATGCCGTTCGGTGCCGGGGCTTATCTATCATCTGACGGTGCTCACACTTGGGTCCGACCTCCACTAGTAACTACCGAGTAAATATAGGTATTTAAAGTTATAGTAAGATAGTACGTTACTCTTGCTTTAGAAAAATACTAGTCCTGTAAGCATTTTGAAGATATAACTGTAAGAAGAGTATTATTTATTACCTTTATCCTGCCGTTGCTGAGACTATTTGTTTTTATGATTTACTCTAAATGTCACTTTGATGAGCCTGACAACCAATTCTAGCCCTCTTTGTTCTTTTTGTATATAAGCTTGTACCCAAAGTTCGGATGATCAGTCTGAATTATAGAGCTGTAGTGATGCGACATCCGAATGATGCTGACACGACATAAAAATGGATTCCTGACCATTTACTATACAAGAATTGATCAGACCGCTGTATCAATGAGCCAAAAAGAAAATTGTCATCAGGTCCCAAAGGAACAACAAGTCGCTTCCGCTTCTTGGCCAATATACTGCAATAATAATATCTATACTTATCAAAATCTCGTCAAGAGTGCAAGACATTTGTCATCCTGGTATTGATGCGAGATCAGAATTATTTACAAGGGACAAGCTTGCTACCAGACTGTTCACCACTTTGCATGGAAGTGTGGCGAATTGATATTCACCGCAATCTGGGAAAATCACCAGTTAAAATCATGGTTTCGTGGTCTAACGGTTATGACTGCGGATTCTGATTCCGCCAGCGAGGGTTCGACTCCCTCCGAGACCTTTCTTTTGCTCTGGCGTTTTATTTCTTCTTTCTTTTTTTCTTTTGCTTCTCATACTCTTAAATCCTAGGAAATAGTTATGGCATTTTGGGATTCTATGCTTGAGTAACTTTTTCCGCTGTGATTTCAGAATAATGCATACCCTTCTAATGTTGCCAATGCTGCCGACTTGTTGGACTGGAATATGGCTTGGTTTGTGCAACCATCTACATGTTGAGAAACAAGTGAAATGTAGCTGTGAATACTGTCGCTCTGCTCAGAGATTCTTATATACATATAAACCTGCGCTGTTCCGATGCATTAAATTGTTTATCGGTCTGTAATTACTCTGTCGTGCTTTTTGCAAGCTACCCTGTATCTTTGCCATGACTCGTGTTTTAACCGTCAAGTCGCAACAATGACTTATTCCCGACGGCTCCCACGTGTCGAAGGATTTTAAAGCCTTGGTACCCTGTCTTTCCCACGAATGATCGACAGGAACAAGTAACGAAGACTGGATGAAAATGGCGCAAATATCCGAAGATTCGCCAACGACGGAAAACACTCTGATCACTGACCAGCAACGACCCATTAAATGTCCCACTTGCCGGAGCCGAACGGAAAAGATGAACCAAGAGCAAGATCCTTATATCGGATCACTCTCAGGAGGCTCATCTGATGGTTCAACTCAATTGACCTTCTATCCTTGTGATCATCTTGCGGCCGAACAGCCACGGGGTAGCATCTAGATCTGAACCACATCGCCGGGAAGTGGCTAAATAATGCAGCAACCAGGGGGTTGATCACATGCCTCTTCAGCTTCTTATCTCGCAGCTATTAAGAACGGCGACATGCTCGTTCTGGAAGCGCTTGCGATGGCGGAATAAAAGCCACTGTCTGAGCGCCGCGTTAGCCCCTATAATGATAAGAAATATTTTTTTAATGGGGTTATGTCACTGGCCAGCTGGATTGCGCGTTGACGGAAATTCAGTGGATTAACCCCCCAATTTATTTTCAGCTTTCTGGGGCGTTCCTCTTCCGACCTCGCGGGAGTAATTGCTTTACGCAATATGATCATCAGCTAGATAATCTGTCAATCACGAAATTTCCCAGCGTTGGTCCACAGAAACTTTCTAAAAAGGAACTTGGAGTGCTAGTTCGTGGGTCCGTGGCTTACCACTAACGCCGGGCCCAAGACTTGTCTCGTAATAGCGGCCGGGTTTGACTCGCAGGCCCAAACGTCCAGTAAACTCTTTTCTACGCTGTCCAGCCAGTGAGTTATTAGCTGCAGCTCCGATGATGCACCGGATGGGCTGATTAAGGGTCCCCTGTCTTCCACGTGTCTACCCTGACGGGTCTGGGTCTGGATCACTGTTGTGACTGGATCTCTGGAGGGTTTAACTACTGAGGTGCTGCACCCCTGGCTGGCGCTGCAGATCTTGTCGTTCTTTTTGTTACTTTTTCTTGCATCGATGCCCCGGATTTTGTCTGTTTTGCTTTTTGGTTCTGGGTGAAGACCCTCTTCGGTACCGACAATTTGGTATCGCATCAGCATCAGCAGCCATGTCGTCTCTCGATGCTGAGATGTGGGCGTGGTACGCCTTGACGCTGGTAGTGGTGGTTGCGCGAATGTGAGTACTTGGTTGGAAGTGTTGGGAGTTGTTGCTGACTGTATACAGGACGTCCCGTCGTATGTTGCTTGGATCGTTCAAGCGTATGTTGGCAGATGACTACCTCATGGCGTTGACAATGGTTCGTATCTCTTTACTTGCCAATGCATAAATATTAACATCTGTAGATCACATATACTGCCCTCCTGGCAATCGTCAGCGTCCTCACACGAACCCCCACCAACCTCATCAACCCCGACGACCACATCGTACTCACACCCGAAGACATCAAACTCCGAGAATACGGATCGAAACTGGTACTAGTCACGGAACATATGCAGATGCTTACCCTCTGGGGCGTCAAGGGCTGTCTACTCTTCATGTATGGTCGATTGACGTGAGTAGTCTCCCATCGTCAATATAGTCATTGGTGACTAACAACTTTCAGAATGAGTTTAAAGCAAAACTTCTTGGTCAAGCTCGTGGCAGGATATGTCATCGTTGGATTCGTTGTTATGCAGATCTTGTGGTTTGCTGCTTGGTGCCGGCCTTTCAACCACTACTGGCAGGTTCCTCCTGATGACTGTGAGCAACCCGTTGATAAGATAAGACACTTGGACTAATGAGTCGCAGTGAACTGTTCAGCTGAGACCAATCATATGATCACCAACGCCGTCGTCAACATCTCTTCTGACATCATGATCATTCTTCTTCCTATGCCTGTCTTTTTACAATCCCAACTGCCCCTCAAGAGAAAGATCATCCTTTGCGGCGTCTTTGCTCTTGGAATCTTTACTGTAAGTTCTCATTCGTCCCTTATCTCGTCAAGCTGTGAAGCTGACTTGCTTTCAAGATCCTCGCAGCAACCATGAGCAAGATCTACAGTCTTGGCGACCCCTTTGGCACAGAATGGTCCTACTGGTACATCCGCGAAGTCTCAACCGCCGTCATCGCCGCCAACCTCCCCCTCACATGGACTCTCCTCCAACGCGTCTTCCGCCTCGGTTCATTCCATGCCAAGTACGGCAAGTCCTCAAACCAGCGCACTGGCGAAGGAACATCGCGATTTCGATCAGCGTACGGAAACCTCAGCAGTATGGATCGGCGACCCAAAAAGACGACTTTTGTCGAGCCCGGAATGAGCTTCTCAGAAAGCCAAGAGGAGATTAATGGAAAGGATATCCCGTTGAAGATTTATCAGAAGAACGAGGTTATTGTGAACATCACTACTGAAGAGGCGTCGTCTGATAAACGGTCGCCGTCACCGCCTGGCCACACAGGGTTGGAAAGAATTAATTTGCGGGAGGCGAATGCGCATGGCGGTAGTGAGAATGGGGATAAATCTGCGAATGAGATGGAGCTTGGTGTTGTTACCAAGGTCTATCATGGAGTATAATGGGCTGATACCGTCAATGAACTAGACATACATACATATCCAAGTATTTAATAACTACATATTGATCAAGAACCACACTGCCACGCGAGTAGGAATGCCAAGCCTTTCATCGCTTCTCATTCGACTGCAGCAACGCGCCTAATGCACCAGTAATATTCATGCTTCAATATGCAGGTGATACTAGATAATCTACCACGTGACGGTCGTACAGCCTCGTTCTTGAAATACACTCAAGGTCAGCTTCCCCACTTCTTTTTCAACCCTCATCTTTCTTCTTCGCATAATCATGGGTCACGATGCCGAACCCACGACACCAGGTACAATTTCGCCAGAGTCAATACCCTCGACTGGGCTCAGCGTGGTCTACGAGCCCCCGAATGATAAGCCAGTGGTTGAGTCAGTAATGAGCCGGACAGAAGAGGCATCGGAGCTAAACAGGTCACTAGTATCATCATGGTCCACGGGCTAAAGGGCCACCCTTACAAAACCTGGAGATTTATGCCGTCAGAAAAGGCCGATAAAGCATCGACACATTCTGACAACGGGATCTTAAAACCCAAGTCTTCTAAACGCCTTGAGTTCAGAAACAGCTTCAAGACCTGGATGAAAGGATCATCAAGCAAGGACTGCCTCGATCAAGGGATTATTGACTCTCCGCGTAGTACTTTCTCGGGGACTTCAACCGCTGAGTCGACTGTCTTTTGGCCGGCTGACCTTCTTCCTCAACTGTGCAAAAATGCTCGCATTTTGACCTTTGGATACGATACCAAAGTGACAAAGTTCATGTCTGGACCAACCAATATGAACAGCATTTTCTCTCACGGAAAGGACTTTCTCTTTTCTCTCGGACGCATGAGAGTACCGGACCGTCCTATTATATTTATTGCTCACAGTCTTGGCGGTATACTTGTGAAAGAGGTAGCTCTCACTTCTCTGCTCTTTTAATTGTCCAGGGCTGAACTTGATACAGATGCTGGCATTGTCCTCAACTTCAGACATCAATTTGGTGAAGGGAATAGTTGGGTGCACTGCTGCGGTAATATTCCTGGGAACACCCCATCGCGGAAGTCCTGAACTCTCGGCCATCGGGGAATGGGCTAGATCCGTCTTGAATTCCTTTCATTTCCAAACGACTTCAGCAATTCTGGATGCTCTTGGTCTTAAGACAACTGACCTTGAGCGAGCTCATGAAGCGTTTTCTAGACTTTGGCTACATTATGACTTCAGAGTCAAGACCTTTCAGGAAGGCTTTGGACTTACTGGGATCAAACTGGGAGTCCTGGGAAACAAGGTTGTACCTCATGATTCCTCACTCATTGGAGATTCACGAGAACATGCGGAAACTCTGCAGGCCAACCACATGGAGATGTCTCGATTCAGCAGCTCTCATGATCCTAACTTTGTCAAGGTCGCAGGAGAGATTGTGGATATCTACACCGCAGTAGAGCGCGAACAGACTGATCACATCCAGACTGGGCCTTTTCGGCTAACTAGCGAAGCAAGCCCGGCTGCGCAATATGGTTCGAGAGATCAGCAAAATGTCATTGACAAGAAGATGTTAAGCACTCTGATTCAATCCCTACGCTTCAGCGGAATGGATACTCGGCGCGAATGCATTTCTCTCCCTTCGATAAACACTGGACAGTGGCTCTTCCAAAACCCAATATTCCGCGCCTGGCAAATGAGCAACCATTTCAGCAAGCGATTGTTGTTTATTAAAGGCAAACCGGGAGCCGGAAAGTCGACACTCATGAAAGAGGCCGCCCGAAGAACAAGGTCAGGGTTCCAAGGACGCGGATGCTGCGCAAGCTTTTTCATCAACACTAGGGGCGATTTACTAGAATGTTCACCAAGTGGGATTCTAAGGTCTCTGCTCTGTCAACTCTTGACCTGCTGTGAGGACCTCAGAATCAATCTGGAGTCAGAGCCGGCTATTGTGCTTATGCGTAACATGCGAGAGAAGGCTGCACTGTCGTCGAAAGAGTGGTCCGATCAACATATGGAGAGTTTGCTCACTGATGTCCTCGAAGTTCTTTCATGTGAACTAGTTCCTGTCTATATCTTTGTGGATGCCCTTGATGAACTTGGCTCTGGAGAAGAGAGACATGTGGTTGCGTTCTGGATGAACCACGTCCAGTCGCAAATATTCCGGAATACGCGAGTCTGCTTATCCTGTAGGCACTTCCCCAACATTTCAACCGCGGGATGCCTGGAGCTGGTACTAGATGCACACAACAGCCCTGATATTCTCACGTACATAAACCTTCGATTGAAAAGCCATATACACGAGGGGGAAGAGCACTGGCGTACAGACCTATCCAAGAAGATATTCTCGATGTCAACTGGAGTCTTTCTGTGGGTCGTGCTTGTAATAGACGCCGTGTGTATACACTACGATCAGGGACATAGTCTACGAGCCCTTGTACGCCTCGTTGAAGATACCCCGACCGAACTGAAGGAGGTATATGCGCAGATCATAAGTACTCTTGTCGAGAGCGAAAAGTTACTTGCCTTGAGACTATTCCAATGGGTTACTGGGGCAGCGAGGCCGCTACGACTCGATGAATGGCACCACGTCCTGGCTTTTATCGCGGCTCGGCCACCGAAATCACTCAAGGAATGGCGAGAGTCACTTACGTTCACTGAAAATGATCACCAACTCGAAAGGATGATTAAAACACTCTCAAGGGGCTTGTTGGAGATAAGCAACAGTCAGTGTGACATTGGGGCTAGCAAAGAAGCTGGGACATCATCTATAAACGCAGGTGCTGGATCTCTCGACCATGAACAAGGTTCAGCTCGTGTCGTGCAAGTTATACATGAGTCGGTGTATGATTTCCTGATGTTGCAGGGAGGCTTTGAACTCCTAGGATGGACTGGAACCAGCATCATTGCCGACTGTCATTGTATGATTGCCATTACGTGTCTCAACTACATGAACATCCCAGAGCTGGATGACCTTGTCGTCGCGCGTCAACTAAACATGATACGTGATGTAGTAGCGTCCTCAAAGTGCTCTTCACTCATGGAAGAACTCCAAGACTCGCACACGAGAGAGACTACCTTTGGTCCGAAGCGCACACTGGATGGTCTTGTTACATTGCCCAGGATAGATCCACAGAAGCTTGTCGAGGCTTGGGTCTGGAACGAGCACTTGGCATCTTGCTCGAGCTCTATCAGAGACACAGCTCACAAATCAACCGCCTCCGTATCTACTCGTGTCAAGTCTCAAGCGCTGAAAGACTATCCCGCATTACTTCTATACGCAGCGTCCGAGCTGGACTACCACATTCATCTAGCTGACTCGGCGACGTCAGAACGCATGAAAGCGAAACTTCACCGTCGCCTCTGGGACGAAGAATTGAAGAAGCGACTGGCTGCGCTTGATACAAAAATGTGGGTTGAGAAGGACATGATAGAAGTTGAAAGCGATATTAGCCTGTCCTCTAGGTCTTCAACGTAAGCGAAAACAGAGAAGCTAACCAACTTGACCATGACTAACGATGTGGTTCATATCATAGATTCCAAAGACAAAAGATTGAGCTTTTGCAAGCGCGGATAAAGGCCAGAAGAGCTGAGAGGGGTGAAGCACAAGGGCCCAGAAGGCCGAGAAGTATTGCCAGTTTCGGATCGGCGAGTAGTTATGGACATCGAAGCTCAAAATCACAGAATGGTTAATGTGTCTTGGGTCTAATGTCTCTAGTGACTAAGGTAATGCACAAGCTAGTGAGGTCAGCGGATCTCGTCCTCGGATGTCGTATGTGGACCATCCTCACCCGGATCTCGTCCCTCGGGGAGTTCACGCCCAGTTTTCTGGGGTAAACCACAAATTCAGTGGCTCCAACAAGGATCTACCATCAAAATCGCCCCAATTCGTCAAACAATCCCAACCATCACGACATCTCAACCACTCTCCATATAAGTCTACACACTCAGCCTTCATCATGACACCTTAACCACAGTCACAGCATCATCCATCATGGGCGTCTTTACCAAGTTTCGCTTCTTCAACCGAAGACTCGCGCTATCATGCGTGCTCATCGCCGTGTCGACGTTCAATTATGGCTTCGACAACCAAGCTTTCGCGACGACGCAGGCGATGGATGCGTTTGATAAGCAGTTTGGCGTTTGGGATGAGAAGACGGGCAAGTATGTTCTTGAACCGTCGTGGCTTTCGCTGTTTAACAGTTTGAACTACATTGGTTTCGCTGCTGGTGAGTACGGCGTGAGAGAGTTGGTGGTGCTTTGCTGATGGTTTGTAGGTGTTCTGATTGGGACTTGGATCTCGTCCCGATGGGGTCGGCGATGGTGCATGTTTGTCATGAGCGTGTATGCTATTGGCACAGCGACTATCGCCGTCACGTCTTTCCATCGCGAACAGATCATGGCTGCTCGAATCCTCAATTATGTCTACGTCGGAATGGAACTTGGTGTTGTTCCAACCTTTCAGTCCGAAATCGGTATGCCATACTCCAACAAACAGCCACTTCCATCACTAACAATAATAGTCCCCGCTCAAGCTCGTGGTTTCATGGTCGGATCCTACCAACTCAGCCTCGCGGTCGGCGGCCTCGTCATCAACAGCATCTGCTTCGGAACAAGCTCCCTCCCCGACACCCGCGCCTGGCGAATCCCTCTCGGCATGTTCTACATCGTGCCTAGTATTGTCGTAGCAGGCATCTGGTTCGTACCAGAGTCGCCGCGATGGCTGCTCCGAAAGAATAGAGTTGAAGAGGCGCGAAAGAGTCTCCAAAAGATCCGTGAAGGAGCTTTTACGAATGAAGAGATCGATGCTGAGTTTACGGAGCTGAAGGTCTCTTTGGAGCAGGAGACTGAGCAGGGAAAGTTCGTTGAGCTTGTGAGAGGTATTAATCTGAAGCGAACCCTTATCGTTATGGCCGTCAACTTCTATCAGCAGGCTGGTGGTCAAGCCTTCGTGTCGCAGTATGGTACCATCTACGTCAAATCGCTTGGAACCATCAACCCGTTTGGCTTCAGCTTGATTACTTCAGCCATCAGTATTATCTCGATTACCTGCATACTCCTCTGGACTGATATCGTTGGTAGACGGTATGTAACCTGCCTATCTTAGATGAACCCCCAGCTAACCACTATCCAGTGTTCTCATGATGGCCTCGTCCGTCACCATGTTTGCTGCCATGATGACAATGGGAGGTCTCGGTATCGTATCTCCCGTCGATGATTCGAGAAAGAAGGGCGTGATCAGCATGATGGCTGTGTTTGCCTCCGGTTTCGGAATGGGCTGGGCACCTCTTGTCTACGTCGTCACCACTGAGCTCTCTGCTCTTCGACTCCGTGATCTTACATCGCGAGTGGGCTTCACCACCAACGTCATCATGAAGTAAGCCCAACACTCACTTCATGTTCATCCCGTGCTAACAGACATTTCAGCTTCGCTGTCAACTTCAGTATACCATATCTCATCTACGACAAGTATGCCGGCTTGAACAGCAAAGTCGGCTTCATCTTTGGAGGAATCATGGCTACTGCTCTTGTGTTTGTCTACTTCTGCGTTCCTGAATGCAAGGGCAAAACCCTGGAGCAGGTAGACTTCTTGTTTAACCAGGGAGTTCCAATCCGACAGTTTGGAAAGGTCGATGCGGCGGAAATGATGCGCGCTACACAGGAGGAAGATGGTTTGGGCAAAGTGCACTCTGGTGGCAAGGATAATATCGTGACAGCTGAACAGCGAGTCTAAGTAAGCAATGGCATTGGAAATAGGTGAAGGGGGGGAGTGGAGGTCTTGATAGCCTGTATTGAGACTGTCAACTAGCTATCTAATATTGAGGTGCATTGGCATCAGTATAAGCATTCATCTGAAGATCAAAGGGATCCAATGGGAAACCAAGTTCTTGGTCTCCAAACACCATGTCAGCTGAGTTGATCGAGTCATAGTTGATGAGTGGATATCCAAGTGACGAGAATGAGCCAAGAGACCCGTCTCCCGTCGACCCAGTCAGACCCTGCTCATCGCCCTGGACCGGAAAGGACCAAATGTCTTGTCCTGGAGCGTTCTCGAGCACTGCGGACTCAAGGGAGGTCTCTGGTATCTCTTCGCTATTATTAGACTCTGGTGGTCGGATAGCGGGATCTTCCTCCTCTTCATCGTCTGGAGCAAAGGCATGCTTAGAACGACGATGCAGCTTTTCTTGTAAGCGAAGAGTCCCTGGCGAAGCGCTCCTAAAACGGTCATCAGCTGCGAAACTAGATTAAATGTGCATCTAGCGTACGGTGATCCAGGCGATATATGTCTGGTCCCCAATCGTGGTATGAGGTTCTCAATATCCGTGATCTATAGCTTTGTCAGCTTCTTGATACGATAGGCGAGGTGGATACTCACACATGAACCAATCCATCCAACTTCAGCGCGACTTCCTGAAACAATAAGCAGGATATCCATAAACTTCTGCTTGATCACTGGTAACGATGACTCCCCGTGTAATGGCAGTAGAGCAGCCAAGTGATCAACCATTTTGACGAATTGGTACGTCACTACTGCAAACGTTGGTGTACCGACACGACTACTAGTCTCCATCTGTCGAACTTTGGACCACATGTCTATGTATTTCATTGCAGTCTGTAAACACTGTTGCTGGCAGTAGTCGATATACTCTCGTGGCGTTTGACCGAGTGCTTCTGGTGATACAGCCTCTCGAATGCCGGGGATGAGAAAGCGGTGAAGATCGCAGCGACAACTGAACAAAAAGGTATGCAGCGTTGTGTATGTACGTGCTTCCTCTGAATGGCACATTATCATAAGTCTGTTTTCGTTGAGTTGTAGTTCATCTGGCAGTGACTCTTCAAAAGATGTCAGCTCCAGATCTAGTGAACGCAACTGGCCCCTGCTGAGATATGGACTGGTCCCACTGAGGATAACCTGTCTAGTGTATCTTGGTCTGTCAGCAAGATCCTTCGCGCAGGATAGATATCTCACCTCAGAACTCTATCTCGAATGTCGTACAGCCGCATCAAATACGCCAAGACATTCAAGTCTGTGTCATTCTCATTCTTACTCCGCAGAAACGGCGCTTTTGATCTTGAACCAAGTTGGAAATTATGATGACTGCTCGGTAAACGGATATGCATTCTTTGCGTGGGACAAACAGTCAGATCCTCAATACCACCCGAGAATACTTTGTCAACAACGTAAATAGACCACATCAAGCGCCTTAGACACTCCTGCTTGACTGGATCGATAGCTGGGCGTTCATAGTTGAGCCTCTTGGTGAACGCGACTCTTGATGCGATTGACAGAAGGACCCAAACATCTCCAGTGAAACGCATGGAGAAGAGGAATTTGATCACAAGCATTAGAGCTTGTAGTTTCGGCACCGACATATCGCCCATGTGATTGACCAACTCATGCTGAGCTTGTTTTATCCAGTTATGCGCTGGTGAGCTCTTCGTGTGATATGTTGGTGCAAGTCGCAGTGCTGAAGCGCAGATAGCTTTGAGTAAGGTCTTTTCGAGTTTGCCTTGGCTCCATTCTGCGATTGTTGTAGCTCGATGAAGAAAGACGCAGTCGGCAATGTCGGATTTGTCAAAGTATGTGTCCAGATATTGACGAATAGCATCTCGACTCTCAAGCTCAAAGACCCTATTCTCATATTAGTCAGAGGTATGAACCAGCAGATGATGGAACATACCGCTGTGTATCACCGGCCACGCTGGAAGAGATGTCCATTGGCGATGCCTGACTGGGTACTGATCCATAGTGTGACTGTGAAGTACTCGCCGGCGAAGTCTGTACCTCCATACCAATATCAACACTAGAGCTCCTCGGCTCATCACCGAATACACATTCATGTCCTTGTGACTGACATCGGTTACAAGGGCATGTACCTGAACACTTTGACTTGGCACTCCGGCAAGCCGCACAAGCCCTCAGTATTCTCCGCCTCTTGATACCCGCCTGCGTCAAATCCTCCCCATGACCACCCGACACCTGAATTATATCCCCCGCAACATAGCTACACGTCAATTCCAACCGCTCACAGCGTATACACCCTGTGATTCGTCGATCGCATTTAACCTGATGACCTAGATTAGTGGAGAACCCCGCAAAGTGTAATACAGCACGAACCTTTCTCGCGCGACATTGTTTACACGCGAGTTGCGGGGACGACCTTTCCATCGCACGAGATCCGAACGAGTTCCTTGGTCTGAGGTGAGGAGTGGGGTTTGCTAGGTCTTTACATAGCAGCGTTTCGAGCACGTCAGCCCGAGGTTGGATGGCGAGGGGGCGAGATCCGGAGAACGAGATCCGAGGCTAGCTTAGGCGAGGATGTTAGCTCATGACTAGATAACTACGACTACAAACTCAGTAATGGAGGTCAATTTCTTGATCATAGCAATTCACAATGTCGCAATCTCATAGCCTTCCTCCGAAACCATTGCCTTTGAAGGTTGATTCCAAGAATGGAGGAAACAGGCCGAATTACATCATTTTCATGCCTGATCAGTTGAGATATGACTCTCTCGGCTGTACAACTGGTCCCGATTCTGAGATCAAGACGCCAAATATCGATGCATTCGCTGCAAGAGGGAGTCTCTTCACCAATTGCTTTACCCAAGCTTCTGTGTGTTCGCAGTCGAGATGTAGTATGTTTACCGGAACATACCCTCATGTCAGCGGTCATCGAAGTCTTGAGAACCTCATCAAGCCATGGGAACCGAACATCTTTCGGAGTCTGAAGGAGTCGGGCTATCACGTTGCGTGCCTAGCACCACGAGGCGACACTTTTGCACCGACAGTCACGGAGCTGAGTCTCAGTGAATACGGGTTCCTTGAAACACCAGCGTTTACGCCAAAATTTGCTGGTGGTGGACGAGAAGTTGATGAGAGCATCTGGGGACGATTGTTTTATCGTGGATTGAGAGACGCGGACAAAGCTTTGGATTATGACGAAGCTGTTATGAGATCTGCTTTGACGTGGCTGGACTGTCCTCCTACGGATAAGCCGTGGGTTCTGTTTATGCCTCTTATCTTTCCGCACTGTCCGTTCCAAGTTGAGGAGCCGTACTTCTCCATGTATGATCGCTCTAAGGTCTCCAGTGTTGAGGCTACGGTCGACAAGAAGACAGGCTATGAACCGCGGTATATGAAGTCGATTCGAGAGAAGTATGGTACTCATCGTGCAACGGACGAAATTTGGAGGGAGATCAAAGCGACCTACTATGGGATGATCACACGACTAGATGATCAGTTTGGAAGAGTTCTCAAGAAAGTCGATGACCTTAGTATTTGGAAGGACACTGTTACGATGTTTTTCACCGACCATGGAGAATATCTCGGAGATCATGGACTCATTGAGAAGTGGCCTTCAGGTCTCTCTGAGACTCTGGTACACGGGCCTCTCATAATTGGCGGTGCAGGACTCCCAGAGGGAAAGAAAATCGATGCCATGACTGAAATGGTGGACTTGGTACCGACGATGCTGGAGACGTCTGGGATCGGAGAGTCATTCGCTCATAACGGACTATCATGGATCCCTCTTCTCTGCGGCGATGCCACAACACACAAGCAGTACTCTTTCTCCGAAGGTGGTTTCCTCACCTCTGAAGAGCCCATTCTCGAACAGGCGCCCTACCCCTACGATCTTAAAGCCGGACTTCAGCACGAAGATACCACGTTGGTTGGAAAAGCTATTTCACTACGAGACAAAGACTGGACTTATGTATACCGTCTATACGAACAACCGGAGCTGTATCATCGACACAACGACCCCCATGAGCTCCATAACCTAGCCCAAGATCCGGATCATAAGGGTTTGGCGGATAAGTATGAGAAGGCTACGCTGAAGTGGTTGTTGGAAGGGGCTGATGTTATGCCTTGGACGAAGGACCCGAGATTTCCGGAGGTGAAGTTGAAGGGTCCGAGGGAGCAGATGGAGGAGAGGTTGAAGCAGGTCAAGAGTGACTGACTTCCACCTTCGGCAGATTAGAGAGGCATTGCCATTTGAATGGTGGCCTAGTACTACGTTTTACATAGACACTCACAAAGACACAAGGCTGGATTAGCAATGTGAACGGAAGAGCTAGTGGTGACTAGAGAAAACAGACGTCAGGCGGGAGAAATACGTTCATATCAATTATAGAGATACTAAAAGCTGAAGTACAAATGAAAGTTGAATGACTGAATGTTACACGTGTGTACAAAAAAATGCCCTGCGCCTAATCCGGTAACCCTCAGATAGCACTTACAGAACCTCACGCACAGGCAAGCTCCAGTTCTCAGGATGCTTCCACTTGGTCTCCATCTTCTCCCCATCCAACTTAAAGACATCACCAAAAGACGCTGACTCAATTCGGTGATGTCCACCAACCGAACTTTGTGCATTTCGGAGAACCGACAGGTAAAACGACTCATCCTTGTCATCCTCACCGGCCTTGCTCTGGTGGCTGTGATGAGCCCACTTCAGCCTCTTGGCCTGGTCCGTAACCAACTCAGCAAGATCATCACGACCTGAAATGGCATCACTGTCCATGTTACCGATTTGCTCAAGGAGATGAACGTGGATATCTCGTGCAGCTCTATGATTCCCGCAAGTGTTGTGGAAGCTTGCGCGGAGAGTCTCACAATCGACTGTAAGATGGTGAAGAGAACCGTAGACATCGCGGAGGTTGTAGCAGATGCTCTCGATCAGAGAAATAGCAGCTGATTGATGGCCTGCAGCGAACTTGACCTCGCAGAGTCGACGACCAGTAGCAACTGTCGCAGCGCCGGACCAGTTGCGGCTCATGCGTGTATCCCAGAGATACTGAAGGATACGCTCAAGCATGGAGAAGTTCTTCCTCTCACCGAGAAGACGGATGATGACGTTCAATTGGTCAAATGGAATGGTGCCAAAGTCGATGTCGAGACGACCAACCTTGAGGACCTCGACGAGAATCTCTGATGAGATTTGCTGGAGCTCAATGATAATATGGTCATGGTCGTGAGTGTGGCGACGCGAGAACGACTCTGAGATCTTGAAGGCAAGCTTGACAACATGAGAGTGCTTCGTCTTGGTGAGTTGTCGGAAGTAAACTTGCGACCACTTCAACAGCTGGAGGGAAACCTTGAAGTCCTTGGCCTTGTAGACCTGGAGACCGACTTCAACCAGGCGCTCAAGGATGTCAATATGCACAACCTTCTTGTTGACGTTGGAAAGGGTCAATTCGAAAAGCTGCCAGAGTAACTCAGACGAGACAGATGTTGAGCAGAAGCCCTTGAACATCTCCCACATGTCTGTACGGAGCCTTCGCACCTCAGTATGTCGACCCTTGAGTTCGAGGAAGGCGATGAGACGAGCGCCAGCGGCGAGACGCATGTGGATCGGGCGACTTGAGGTTCTGACGGAGATGGACCATGCTTCGTAGAGACAAGTCTCAGTGTAGACGTCGCGGATGATGATGTCGAGCATGTTCTCGCGTTCATACCCGCAGAGAAGTTGCTCAAAGGCATGGATGAAGATGAAGCAGCGTCGATCGAGGTGAGCAAGACGATCTTCGTGACCGAAGCCACAGAAGCCCTCGACGTTGCTCTTCTCGCCCATGAGGACCTCTTCCTTGAGAGTCTGGATGAACTTGATGCCAAACTCGACAGAAGATAACTCACGGTACATCTTGGCCAAGCTGCGAGCAATGTCGAAGAGGACAATCTCATTACGCTCTTCAGTGAGAAGGCCGACGATGTACTCCTCAATGACCTTGATAGCAACGGTGATGCTCTCGCGACGTTTCTGCTTGCGGTGGTAGTCGACGATGCGGGTGAGTGCTACCAAGACCTTCTCGTGGGAGTAGGAGAGCTCCCATTTGAGAGAGACGAAGGAGTCGATGAGGAGGGTTTCGGCGCGATGACCGAGATCGCAGTGTGACTCGAAGAGAACTGAGAGGCGATACTTAGCAATCTCGAGGAGAGCAATGATGGAGTCGCCCTCTTCACAGCAGTGGATGTCGAGTTGACAGAGTTCCTCGTAGATAGAAACAGCTTCGACGTATCGAACGGTGTCAATCTCAAGGATCTTGGCGAGCTCAATGCTGGCGCGAATGTAGTACGCATGGGTAGCACCAAAGTCAGCAAGAATGACAGCCCTGAAGCTCTCGGCCAAATGAAGACGCTCAGTGTGTTGCTCATGAACACCAAGAATGATGAGGTACTCCTGGTACACCTCGAACCACTGCTCCGAGCTGATGATCTCATGGTCATGACGATGCTTCTCAATTGAGTTCCAGAGGAAACGGAACCAGGTGAGGGTCTCGGCGTGCTCGCTGTGTGACTTGTGAAGAGAGAGGCAGACCTTCATGAGGATGGAGATGTAGGCGGGGGGACAGGAGTCAAGACCAAAGTCGCCGAAGCCACGGAGGATGATGAGGAGTGAATCAACAGATCCGTGACATTCAAGCCAGTGGTTGAGATGACACATGTGGAACTCGGCCTTGAGCTGCGTGAGTCTGGTGATGATGATCTCAAAGCGAGACTCGAATTGGGTAATGATGGTCTTCTCACTCGCACCAGAGCGATGAGTACCGAAAGAGGCAGTGATGTCAACAACAATATCGACAATCATAGCCAGGGAAGACTGGAAGATGGAAGAAACTCTGTGCGAAGCATGGCTCGCCTCCAACTTCTCAACCATCTTGACAACCGTCCCCATCGCATCATCAAGCACCGTAAAGAAACGCTCAACAGCAAAACCATACTTACCCGCGAACCCAAGAAGTGTCTTACAAGACGAGAGAACAAGCGCAGAGCTATCATAAGTCGATACCTCAATCAACTTGATCGCGGTCATGATCTTGTCAAACTTCTTCGCAAAAGCTTCAGCTTTCTTGAGGGTTTTGTCAAGACGACTTCCCTTCTCGGGCATGTATCGCAATCTCTCGTTCGTGACCATCGCAAGAAACTCCTTGGAGGTAACGGAGCGGCCAAAGTCGAGAGGTTTGCCGCAGACGCGGGCATACCGATCAATAGCCCTCTGCATGTGTGAGTCAAGCTCGCATGAGAAGCCTTCGTAGTCGACGCCATGCCTGTAGATAGCTTGCGTGTCGTACAGCTCGCTTGCATAAGAGAAGGAATGGTCTCGCTTAGAGATTATAGACATGGCCTTTGACCCATGACGTGTTGTAGCGCTGGAGAAGTCGCGGTGCGAGAGAACTGTTGTAGTGCCGGTACCATATTCGAAGACTGAAGAGCGAGCGGGCGCGACGATACTCTCGGTGTCGTGGTGGTGGTGGATTATACTCTCGGCGGGCTCGTCGTCTGAAGACACGGAGCCAGAGCGGACGGGGCGTGTTTGCACGGTGGTGAGCCAGTTGGACTTGACGTTTGAAGGGGCTGACTCCAGCTGGTGGACTAGAGAGTGTCAGTAAAGTAAAGAAAGAGGGATGAAGAGGGGGAGATGGAGCGTACGTTTGGCTTGGCTGAGCATGGTGTCTGTTTCGCTGTTGAAGAAGATATCTGCGAACATGAGAACTGCCTTCGAGGATGGCATTGGAGCGAGGACCATGGTGGGAGATATATCCAGTGATGCAGGGTTTATCTCTTATCACTGGTAGATGCGCTCCAGGCCTTGATCACCACGCTCAGGGTGGGTGGCCTTGACGAACTAGTGGTTTGAGGAGAGCTGGACAGTGAGACAATCCGAAGCCCCGAATGTGACGCCCTGGACTTCATTTCCACCAGTTCAGCCATATCACCCCGATATCTCACCCCGAATGGCATATCACACGCACGCTTGAGGCTTCGTCACATAAACTAGCTATCCCTGAAATTGGTTTGGGTCGAGATCCCTATTTTCAGCTGTCGCTCGGCTAAGCCACAGCGCTGTAGAACTTGTACTAGTGGATCTAGATCTGGGCCATGTTTCAATATGTGATTCAACGCCAGGCTGAGGGTCAGCTCGCCACGAGGGAGTTAAGGTATGTGGCTAAAATTGGGAGACGCGCCGTGCCGCGATCGAATATGGGGAAACTTGGGCGGCGCCCGAACGCTAGATTGATCTTTTTGGGGGGCTCATCCCCCAGTATCGTTTGAGAAGAGGTGGCACGTTATTGGTTAAGGCGGCCAGTTAGACTTCAATAGTGCGATAAAAGTAAGACTGATAAGGAAACTTGGCAACGCCGTAAAATAGGCTTCTCAATTGCGCTGCTGAACCTCCGAATTAGTCTTTGCTCCCTGCCCTTGGCTGACACGCGTTCAGCCAGCCGGGGTAGCAGCTCAGCTCCAGCCATATCAGCCACATTAGACGAATCGGGATGACTATCATTGATGTCTTTGAGACATGCATATCTAGCTTCAATAACGAACCAATACTAGTCCAAGAACCTCGTTTAATTTAATCGCCTGAAGAATATTTGATGCCTCGACTTGGCTGTATGGTGGCGAAATCGCTGGACAGATCGATAGATTGTCTAGCATGGCATTCAACTTAGCTCTCAATGGTGTGAAAAAAGCGAACTGCTGAGAAGGGAGGGTTTCGGGCCGTCCGGTCTTCGAGATATGCCGTCTACTGACCTTTAGGCGAATGAGATTACTCCCTTTCTAGGTCTTCAGCCGCAAGCCACAATATTGACTGGGCATGCCTCGAATCACAATCAATAATGAATAATCCTTCAGCAACGCCACTTCTCGGAGAAACCCTCCGACACCAATCATAACGGTTCCAGAGGCCCAGCCGTGTCCATAAGCCATATATCCAGATCAAAGTCTTGAATACTACTGGGGTCTTGAATCTGGTTATCGAGAAGGCTCTGCGGAAACTGTTAATACACATGCACAATGTGCGGGATATGAACTTTAGGACCTACCCAGTCGATGCTGCCCATCATGTCGAAGTTGTTCATTATGTAGTCAGGTGTCTCTGTGTCTGTTGCAGAAGCTGACCAATCCAGACCGGTCGTTGAAGCTGATGACGTGTTGAGAAAGTCGTTCACCCGTCGGATAGTCGAGTCTAGAGCGTGAGAAACTATTCGTGCCTCCGAAGTATCTGACGAACTGGACCATATTCCGTGAGTCTTTTCAATAATCTTCAAGTTCTTGCGAATTTCTGGTTCCTCTGTACGAATTCCTGTTCTCATACTATTTCGTATACCAACGGTGAGATCTAAGCAGATGACCATAGCCGCCAGAGTGAAATCACTCAGTGTCAACGAAGTAATCATCCACTTCTTATCATACAGCAAAGCACCTGGCAAAGTCATCTGATGTATCTCGGCCTGCCTCTCAAGTAACCTTTCCGCTGCATCGAGCAAGGCCTTTCTTGAGAACGTAAGCTTGCTGTCTTGTCTGTCTGTTAAGTATTGGCGATGGAGAACGATGATGCTCTTGTGGTACAGTAACTCTATGGTTGTTCTGCTCATTATGATACTAATCTCGTCCACGATGAAGCTTGTGAGAGGCTTGTACTTGAAGTTATCGGGTATATTGTCATAGACCGCTCTGACTTCAGCATCGAGTGAGATTGTCTCTTGATACGTCATTGGGGTAACATATCGAGTATGCTTGACCACCTTCTTGAACATGCCCATCACAGAAGCTTTGACAATAGCATATGAGATAGCTGTACTCTCAGAAAGGGGCCTAGGCGGAGGGAGCTCTGGGATACCAGGATAAAAGTCAGATTGTTTCAGGTTCCTCGGTAGCTCTGTGTCGCAGAAGTCTGAGGGTATCATACTTGGCAAGCCCATCTGGAATGACATGAGAGAATCAAGCTGATACAAACAGACCCAGACTCGTCTCCTCATCTCCCCGTCGAACGGCGAGATTCTAGAGCCTGGTACCTTTGTCGAATCTCGATGATAACCCTTGCAGATGGCAAGTTGCACTACCCTACCCATGAGGAACCAGAGGTTAGTATCAGATACTTTGGCACGAAGCCAGCATCCGACTAGGAGAAGAAGAGATGCTTCGACACAATGTTCATTGGCGGCGGTGTAGTTGCTCAGGAGCAAACATTCTTCAGTCTTCTTGGAGAGAGCTTTGCTGGAGGGTATTGGGAGCTGAGAGGAGCGTGCCATTCCTGAGATTTCATAGACGCCTGCTGATAGACTTAGAAGAGCTAGAAGTAGCGCGATCCACACCGGTGATGTTTCCGATGGCGAGTCCCAGAATGATTCGTACTGGGCAAGTGTTAGCTAGATTCCGAATTCGCGTGTGAATGCTGACCTCCTGTTCAAACTTTGTAGGGTGCAGAATGGCTGTCGTGCCACGATTAGCTTCAGCCAAGAAGAGCATCGACTGGCTTACGCATCATAGTGTAGTGCGACAGGAAGAACACAGACACAAGAGTATCACAGACCTGTCGTGGCGGTATGGCTGAAAGGATATGCTCAATTGTCACGCCATCAGGGGATCCCATATCGAAGTTGATATGACTCGCGGGGACTTCGTTGTTCAGTGTGACTGAGCTGAGAGTCGAGGTATGCGGGCTCGCAGCGGGTAACTCCTCGCGAATAGCTCTGATGTTTTGAAGCATGGAGGACCAGTGACTTGGGTCGACTTGACCCGTAAGGCCACTGGAGGCGGTGTGGCTACTGCTGGCGGCAGCCTCTGATCTGGAGATGCCAGGAAGCTGAACATTATCGATGTCTGATAATCCGTTTTGATTCTGAGCTGTGATTCCATTGGGATGTGTATAAGACGCGGGGTTTAATTGCTGTGTCCTTTGAGCCGCCGTGGCGGTGCGATGCTCTAGGTTTTTGAGTCGATCAGGAACAGAGTTCCTATCAGAGCGCTTGTCCTGTCTATCAGCGCTGGAAGCATAGCGGCACAGCGCGTGATTGTTCCTCTTAATACACGTGTCACAGGGCAGCTCCCTGTTACATCTCGCCCTACCCAAGTCAGCGCCATCATCTAACCCTCTTAGCTGGGGACTCACTTTCGTGCGCGACAAGGCTCACAGGACTTGGGCAGTCGAGTCCGCTTCTCAGCTTTGGCTGGATATCATGAGCGCGTGCATCTGAGATAGCAATTGATGTTGGGATCTTCTTACTTGATCCAATCATGATTTGTACCAGTTTTAAGGCTTGTTGGAGGAATGTGTTGTTGATGAAGGGAGATAAGCAAATAATGACGGAGATCGGGGCAGGGGCGGAGTTATTAACCCCGCGATGTTGTGATTGGTTGCTTGTGTAAGCGGAGATATTAAACCCGCCTCGGCCATAGGATTTACAAGACAAAAACAATATATAAGAACGACAATAGCCATTCAACATTCTCTCGTATTATTATCATCAATAATCCACATCAATTCAACATATCAAAGAACTCTGCATTATCTTATTCCTCTTTCACATTTACTGCAACATGTCGATCGCCTCAAGTCTCTACGGTATCACTGGTACCATCTACTCCAACCTCTTCATCAGCCTCCCATACCCCGAAACAAAGGATGACTTGTCAGACAAAATCATGATCGTCACTGGGTCCAACACTGGTCTTGGCTTTGAGGCTAGCCAACATCTTCTCCGCCTTGGAGTTGGTAAACTCATCATGGCCGTTCGTAGCCTTGACAAGGGCGAAGCAGCACGAAAGGAGCTGCTCCAGTTGACGAAGAGAGCTCCAGAGTCAGTCGAAGTTTGGCATCTTGATATGGCGAGCTACGAATCTGTCAAGTCTTTTTCGGCTCGGGCTATGGCTGAGTTGCCTACCATTGATGTTGTACTAGCCAATGCTGGCCTTGCAACTTCTTTCAAGTTCTCAACGGCTGAGGATAACGAGAGAACAATTACAGTCAACGTCATCTCAACTTTTCTCCTCTTCTTTCTTCTTCTACCCAAACTTCAGCAGTCTTCGTACCCCGGCAAATTCGTCATTCCCAACTCAGCTACACACTACTGGGCTCCCATCAAAGAGCTAAAACCCGATGAGAAGGCGGGAAAGATCTTCTCGAGACTCAACGACCCCGAAAACTCCATCATGGAATCTCGATACTACGTCAGCAAGCTTATAGTGCTTTACATCACTCGCGAGATCGCATCTCGTCTCAAGACCACAGAGCAGTCCAATGTGATCATTAACGCGCCAAATCCAAGCTACTGCAAATCAGGTCTTATGCGAGAGAAGCAAGATGTCGCACCGCCTGACTTTCTGGCTCGCTCAACGGAAATGGGAAGTCGCGCGCTTGTCACTGGAGTCTTGGCTGGTCAGGAAAGCAATGGGCAGTATATGAATAATTGTCAGGTTCGCGAGTAAGTCGTCCTTCATTTCGTGCTAATTTCTTGGAGCTAATATCGCCGTAGTCCTGCTTGTCATGTCACGAACAAGACTGGAGCAAAGATCCAGGCTGCGCTGTATGAGGAGTTGTTAGAGAAGCTGGAGAACATCGCTCCAGGAGTTGCGAAGAACATTTAGAGTCGTGCGGATCGTTGAACAGTGCTTTTATAGCTTCCTTGTCGTTTTCATTCTGATAATGTAATAGTAGGTCTCGGGGTCGTTTTCGGTTATGCAAGTCATTAGAATAGAATATCAATACTTATATTAATTCGTGCAACATGTTTACTTGCCTCTGTAGTCAATGACTATCATATCCTTATCTCAAATTGAAACATTAAAGACCCAGCACCTTCGACATTTCTCATGTTCACAATCTCGGCAGTCCTTCGCCTCAATCTTTAAAGGCCCCGCCTCACAGTTACAACATAACCATCGGCTTTGCGACTCTGGAATCTTCTCAACATCCTCCAAGCCAGCCACTTTGATGCACTTCTCGCATTTCTCGTGACGACATCTCCAGCAATGCTTATATCTTCCTCGTGTTCGTGCGCCATTGCAGGTACAGCAGAACCATATCGGATAGTCGATTTCGTCGGCAAGATCCGAGAGTGTGACAACAATGCGTCCTTGAGTTTGTGCATATTTAGGATCCTGCAAAAGATCAACAATATCACTTCGTCCCAACTTCTCTGCCCAAAATAACGCCGTGCAACCATCACTATCACAGAGATTAATATCTGCGCCGCACTCAAGTAACTGACGGGCTATTTCAACATGGCCTCTGTAGCATGCTGCATGCAATGCACTAGATTCGAAACGACCACCCTGAGCGTCAACATCTACCCCTTCAGATGTCAGCAGACTTGCGACGATATCTGCAAGCCCGAAGGAAGAAGCGTAGTACAGAGGCTCGGTCGCCGTAATAGTGTCTCTCGATGAATAAGGCAATAGACACTGAACCCAGAAGTTAAAGTTGCCGCCACCAGCTTTCTTATGGCTTAGGCAAAATGCCAAAGCAGAGGTCTCGTGGCGTCCATGGCGGTCAGTTAATCTTTCGTGGTGTGGCCAATATTGAGAGGCGTAGCGAAGAAGAGGATAGTCGCGAAACTTTCTCTCAAGCTCTTCGTTGGTGCAGCATCCGTCTTGGAAGCTTTCGAGAAGGAGATATGATAAGCATTTATGGGCAATATCGGCATGTATGCCAGAGATATCGTAGCTAAAATAGCCAATCTCGCCTTCACGCGTGATACTGGAGGTTATATATGCCCTGACCGATGAATGCGACAGTGTAACCACACTTGTTGCTGCATCGTAGTCGATGAGGCCTTGGCATATCTCCAGCAACACCATGGGCTCGGGGAGTCTACACTCCTCGTCGATGCGTCGTTTGTAATCTTCCAGAACTGCAGCTTCTGCCAGCTCTTGTATGGTAAGTGGCCGCAGCGCCACAGAGAGGAAGAAGAGAGATTCCCGAGCGAGAAGTATGTCTGCTTCGGGAATGCTGAGCAGAATCCTTTCGTAGACTTCGTAAATATCCTTTGGGAGATTATCCAGGGCCTGTAAGACCATCTTAGCTGTTCGGAGAGTGCTGAGGGAGTCAAGTTGACATTGGGCGTACCGAAACCTAAAAACGTTAGAGGAACCGTACATATGATAAACATGATATAGCTGTGCTCACATTCCATTCGCGCTACCAAATACCTTCTCGCGCAACTGGAGTTTCGTCTCATTGCTCAGTCGTTTGAGAAGACGCTCCTCGCTAATCCTGGTCATAATATAGAAGCCGATATCTTTATCAGCATCTCCTGTACCCATATCAACCTCAATCATGTTCGGTGGTTCTTCCAGTTGAAGATCATCTAGCCAATGTGAACAGCTAGATATGGCTGTGATAAACAGTCGCACGTTGGGGTTGACGGCAATGAGATGTAGAAGCATCTCAAACACCTCCATGCACCTAAGACTCTCGTTAATTGCATCAACTGATATGTAGAACCTTTCGAAACTTGACATGTGTTCTGAGATTAGTCTCATGAGGACACTCTCTCCCAAGATATCCCCGGATTTGCGCAATTTATCGATACTTGTCAGGGCTTCGGGATGATGTTCTGAGAGTTGATACAAGATAGACCCAAGAATATTGAGAGGCTGTTGAGATTCTCTGTCATCGAAAGAGCAGTAGAAGTACGCTTGACCGATGTTAGGATCTTCTTGCTGCACTAGCTTGAGCTTTTCGACAGCAGCGGCGCTAGTATTCATTTTAGCATCAGTAGAGCCTGGAGAGAGAGATGGTTCTTTTGACTTACTGTAATGTTGTTTTTCCGGAACCAGCTACATATATATGAGTCAGAAGGAGCGCAAGATCCTGGCAAGATAAAAGGGCTGTCGAATTACATTTACCACGAAGCCAGAGGATTCTGGGGGAGTCTGCACCACCGTCCATCCAGGCTCTGAAGTCGCCGTCTAGGAGCCATGATCCAGTACCCGCCATTCTCTTTTTAATGACCTTAGCATGGAGCCTTTTGGGACTAAACGGTTGTATCCATTCCCTGACATTTTTTCTCTTTTCTTCTGTTCAAAACGTAAGCGCCAGCAAAGTGCAGGATGCTTGATTGCAGACCTTCATCTTTCAGCTTCCCCCTCGCCCGACTTTCTCTAGCAATTTCCAAAGTTTCATGCGACTCAAGCATCAACACTTCCATTTGCGTCCTAGTGTCTTCAGAGACGCTCAATTTCAGGGCAGATAATTTTTTTGAAGAACTTACGAGCTGTCAGCCATCATCATCACGATCAACCAAGTCTTCACACGTTCAAGATCTTGAATATCCGCCTTCACATCATCTTTTACCCATGGCCATAGAAACGCATTCACTCGACGAGATGAAGTTTGTTTCTTATTGAGATTCTCCATAAGACGACCTAAAAGCTCTGAAGTCGAAGATAAAGTGCTGCGAAACTCTGTGGAGCGTTTCAAATCGGCTATGTCAGGCTCTGCGGACGCGATATCTAATTCTTCAAGTTGTTCTAATACACCCTTCAGAGCGAGAAGCTCAGTGTAGAGCTTGCGCATATCACTTTGGGCATCGTGGACTGCTTTGCCGTAGTCGTAGGCGCGTCGGATGAGGTGGGAAACTTGGGCTACTAGGCCGAGTATAGATATGGGGTCAACCATTACTATGGGGCGAGATAGAGGAAAAGCATACGGTTCTTGCGTGATAGATTTGAATTGGCAAGGTGAGCGGGGTTGACGCGCTGACAGGCGGTCAGCTGAAGCAGAATATCAAGCCACAATGTTGGTAATTTGGAGTTTCAGGTCTAGCCTCCGAAAGAATGCAGACAAAGGAACGTAGGTGCCTCGTGAGAATATCTCATCAGATCAACTGAATAAATCTAGTGAAAAGTATAAAGCTATAGAGAGCGCTGAAGCTTTCCGTCGTAAGATCTACTAACTGCAGCTTATGATTATTTGCTAGAGAAATGAATAGACAGATGCATTAGAGCCTATTGATCTTGTTTGTAAGTGACTGTTATTATAATACAGAATCCCGAACCTCAGACCCATCATGCGTCAGCACTAGTAAAAGGGGGAGCGAAAAACCACGCCAGTGAAAAGAATGGCTCGATCTGATTGGACTGGATAAGCATCCTCGCACAAGTCCCCAAGCACATGGATTCCTTTTGGACTCGGCTTTCAAATACGCTTCCAACAAACTGACTACCCGTTGCTTGGTCGGCCTCCCCCGGCTCGAGCCAACGGGTACCGTATAAATAGCCTTGTCCCGCTCGAACTTGTTTAGCTCATTTGTATCCATTTCTTTCTTAGTCGCAATTAAGGATAATTCGCTAGCATGATCGCCAGCTTCTTTAGCCAAAAGAGCGCTAGAACCCCAGATGAAGAAGCAAAAATCCTGAGAAAACTCAGTCCCAAGTTCGTATTAAACTTTCACCTTTATTTACGGTAAATGTAAATCTAACAACTACTAGTGAATGCTTTCAAAGCGCTCAGCACTTACTGAGACTTTATATCGGATGCGCTTTGTCCTGCCGCTACGTTATACCAGAAACACTTTTGGCCTTGGATGCAGACTCGTTCAAACTTGTCATTGAGACTGCATTTGCGCGTGCCATTCTTCAACATCCGGCTTTAACCGTCGGTCGGATCGATGATAACACCAAAGCACCGCTCTGGGTTCGCCTAGATCGCATCGACTTTAACAACCATATCACATGGTCTGAGTCTTCTGAAAACAGCGAAAATTCTCTTCGTGATGTCCTAGAATGGCAGGTCAATAACCCATATCTCAACCTCGAGAGACAGCCCTGTTGGAGAGTGGTGATACACAAATACCCTAGGTTTATGGATGTCGTCTTTGCATGGGATCATTCGGCAGGTGATGGAAAGAGCGGCAAGATACTTCACGATACTTTCATCACCTGCCTTAATACGCCAGAATCCAACAATATCATGCTGAAGAACCGATCTTTCGACGTTCCTATTACTCCCCACACGCCCCCGATGGATCAATTAATCGAACTTCCCATCTCACTAGGCTACATCACATCAGAACTCAGCCGCGAGTTTCTTCCGCAATTATCAACTAAACCTCACATGGCGACTTGGGCGCCCATTTTCACTGAGCCAGCAAAGACTCGCCTTTCATGGACGCGGGTTACGAAAGAAGCTTTCCCGTCAGTGTTGGACGCTTGTCGAAAGCATGAGACGACCTTGACTGCACTTTTAAACACGCTCCTCGTGGTATCAATAGCGACGAGACTCTCTGAGGACAAGGCTCGAGCATTCTCATGCGGAACGCCTATTTGTTTCAGGCAATTCCAAGTTAGAAAATCCGATGTCGACTGTAACAAGACGATTATGAACTGTTATGCCTACTGGCCCTCTATCTTTGACAAGTGTCTTGTTGCAAAGATCCGCCAGCAGTTCAGCGATGCCAAAGCGAACCCCGATTTACATTCAAATCTTGAGGATGCCGTTTGGGGCGTTGCCAGGACAATCAGAGAAGGATTGCTGGCAAAATTGAGTCAGGGCACTAAGAATGATACAGTGGGCTTGGCTAAGTTTATTGGTGATTGGCCGTCATACTTCAAAGGCCTTAGTAAGACGCGCGAGCATGCCTTTGAAGTAAGCAACCTAGGCGTCATCGACGGCGGACTTCCGGAGAATAGTGATGGGAAGGACAAGTGGAGTATCGATGGTGCCAGCTTTGCTCAGAGTTCGCCTTCTTTCGGAGCAGCATTGACTCTCAATGTTATCTCTACCAAAGGCGGGGAATTGGTTATAACTAATGCTTGGCAAACTGGAACGGTTGATGATGAGCTTGCTCGGGGCGTGACTTCTGATATCGAGATGTGGTTGAATAGGCTGGGACATACAGGGTGTTTTAAGTTTACATGAGATAATCTTCTGCTGGGTCGCCAATGCGCAGAACAATAAGTCTTTAAGAAATCACTGCCGTTTCCACTTATATAGAACTGAATATCATGACACGATTCATGATATAGAGCTTCATCAAGAGCAAGGTGGAACAGATAGGCATCCGATGATCATGCCGAGCTGTGAGTGGCTACGTACCATTGAGTAATACCTTAATAATAGGTAGTCAGAGGAAGAACTAAACTTTGGTCTTGGATTGCTGTTGCATTAACAGCTTACCCGATAACAGTCTTTTCCATTCAATTACATACACCATTATCATGATGGAAAACTATATACAGGAAATTGATGAGTAGGCCAGCAGACTGAATGGCAGTCCTTGCACGTTCTTCATATTCTAACCACAGCTTAAGATGATGGAGCAGCCTGGTCGACAATCAGATCAACAGGCGTCTGATTAATACCCGTGAAACCATCAGCAACGATATTCAACAGTCCAGTGTCACCCTGCATGGTAAAGTGACTCAGCCTATCCGTCGTCGCAGCGCAACTCTGAACACCACCACCCAACTGAGTACAGCTCAGCACTGGAACGCTACACTGGAGGGCAGACCCTTCAGTAGGGGCCTGGCAGGTCAGATAAACCACGCCGAGGGTGAGATTCTCATTGTCGCTGTTGCATGCAGTGATGTAGGCGTAGTTCGCCACGCTGTGTGTGAACCATGCGCAGAGGGACATGGCGCCGGCTTTGATCTGTCCGGTGGCGGCGTCGATATTGTAGTGCTGCGCAGGGAAAGTGACGCTTGAGCCGAAGTACAGAGGAGTGCCGAAGCCATTGTCTGATTTGAGGATGTTGTTGGCTGCTGGGCCGGAGCCAGCGACGACGGCGAAGGTGGTGATTACGGGAGGGGCGTCGGTTGTAGTGGTTGTCGCATCAGCGGTGGTGGTATCGGCTGAGGTCTCGATAGAAGAGAAATCGGTTGTAGCAGCGGAAGTTTCTGTTGTAAAGAGTGTCGTTGAGTCGGCGGACGTGGCGGTCAAGGCAGTGGTTGTCAAATCGGTGACGGTAGACTCCACAGCAGTTGAAGTCAGAGTATCAGTCACCAGAGACTCGGCCGAAGTTGACGTCTCAGTAACAGCGGATTCAACAGAGGTCGACACCGTGGGCTCAGCGACGCTCGATGTCAAAGCCGTAGAAGAAACGATCGAAGCTGTACAGAACCCCATTAGCTAAAGCCTAGTGCTAAACAGCTGGTCAACATACCTGACGTCAAGGGCTTGCAAGGGCTAGCAGCCACCCCAATAAGGCCAATGGCCAGAGACAAAAGCGCGCGAGTATACATGGCTAACGAAAGACTGAAGTTGGAATTGAGACACCAAGGAGAAGAATCAGGGACAATCTGCAAATGGGCACTGCAATGTCTTTATGGCGTCGGGGCTTGGCACTAGCGCGCTGTCGTTAGTGAAGTATTGATCCCATCTGCACGCTAACACGTCCAGTCCAGCTACTATTCGGCGACAATGCAGGGGAAAAGCAACGGTCTGCCAATAGCCTTATCTGACTTTGCTGTTTACGAGCATCCAATTTCCTCGTGCATAATTTAACATTCAGGAGGCATCGGAATGCTTCCAACGGTAAATCCAGCGCCTTATAAAAAGATGTGATGTGACATATCGACACTTGCTTGTGTCTAACCATACAATATCATGTCGTTTTATTGTATGAACTCAATAACCTTAAAGATCTGAAGAAGGCGTGATGCTAATGAATCGAGGTAAGGTGCGCGATATCAGCACCAGCTATTGAGTCTATCAGCTCAAAGCAGCAACATGATGTACTCGGCAAATGGCCTAAGAACAGGCTTTTTGGCCCCGGGAGTAAACTGAATTCCTAATCCTACTTTAAAAAGGTTATATCACTCTCTACATAAGGAAAATCGTTAGCTCTCCTGGCTTTGGTGAAACCCAAGGACAACCTGCAAGATTCGACCCTCCACACCGAAAGCAAACAGAGTGAGACGCTAGCACAACAGTTTGGCATTCCTTCCAAGACGCCAGTGCTGCCACTGACAGCCGTGCGAACCAATTTCCGTAAACACTTACAGCTCCTCTCTCTCCATCTAGTAAATTCTCTCTGCAAAGCAACAATTCATCCCATGTATTTATGGTTTTCAACTGCCCTTTGACCGTAGTCTTCAGAACCTCTCCCATGTTTTTGTCTTCTTCCCCCCTTGTGCAATTGCATCCTCGCATACGGATAAGATCCCGGCTTTCGAAGGCTTGCAGGATATCCAGATCAGCAATCCATCTGGATCCATCATATACAGATATAAGCGCTTCACGCAATACCACATCAGCGTCGACTGCACCACGGGCGCTTGCTAACGGCACCACAAATTCTGTAAACTTGAGGTGGATAGATGTCTGTGAAAAACTATTTCGGAGGGTTCCATCAAACGGGTAGGCTTGCACAAAGCGCCCACGCGTCTTATCGACTTGGAGGACGCGCGGCATTGGCGGTGGAACAAGTAATACTACGCCGGGATACCCCACGTTGCCAGTGAGGCGTCGAATTCCTCTAAAAGAAGAGAGACCAGAGTTATCGCGTAGTGAAGGGTCTTGCAGAAGTGCTTCTGAAGCGTAGATCGAATTTCCAGTTGCCATAGCTATGACTAGGTCGATTTGATCGGGGTGTATGTCGTGTCCACCAGATTCAAGCATAGTCAGACAAGAGAATTTGGTTGAGCGCCATAATTTGCCATCGAGGCCGAGGGTAGAGTGATTCCATATATTGGAGGCCCAGTAGCTGGAGCCCAACGGCTTCTTGGTGGTGGCAACTGAGATTATTGCTTCTGGCCATTCTGCGTAGAGATCAGATACCGCAGCCATGGCGGTCAGAGATTTGAAAAATAGTTCGCTGTGGTGTGTTTTTCCCTCGAGAGAAGCAGAACAATCTAAAATCCCTGTACCAGGAACACCTTGTAAGTAGGTCCTCAGTTGTTGTACATTTAGGTTCCCAGACCGAAAGATTTCAGTAAGTTTCGGGAGACAAAGGCTTGGTATATCGACCACCGCTCGATCATTGAGGAATAAGCCACCACTGCTATTCATATGCACTGATTCAAAGCTCACACCATGAGAGGCCGCGAGTAAACTGCCAGTACTATCCACGTACACTGGGCTAAAGGCCATATCAGGAGAGAGAGAGGCCGAGGATAAAAACCAATCGTTTTCTTGAACGGATTCATCCAACAAGTCTGAGTATCGCTGGCGGTAAGTGTATGGAGGATCTTTCCAAACGAACTTCCACTTCCGCGCAATCAGATTGATATCTGCGTATTCGTTACTTGTTGCAAGCCAGAAGCAGTCCTCATCCCCTGGATCAAATCTTGGAACACAGTTCCGGGCATTCACACATGGCGGATCTTCTTCGGCACCATTGAAGTCAAAAAGACAAAGACAAGCCGAGGTACAGTGGAAGCCTCGGAGTTTGCATGGGCAATCTCTTTGACAATAGCGAATGGTCCTTTGCTGCTGATCTCGACAGTTGCAAGGAGGCAACGCGGAAATGCTTGACTCTTGGCCCATAGTCGCGGGCCAATCTGGCACGTCCGTATTACGTCCTGCAATATCGAAGTATCGCTGTATTTGAGGATCCCGAGTGCGGTCGATATGCACCCAACGGGAGTGACGCCGCATAACTTGTAAAGTACCATCTAGCGATCTCTTCGATGTATACCTTTGCATCGGGATCGCAGACGCAAATTCCCAATTGCCTTCGAACTGGTCGCTATGAGGATCCGTGGGCTCGACAGAGTAACGAGATCCTGTGATAATGACGCTGTCATGCTCGTGAAAGTTACAGTCCTCAGCAAGCTGGCGAAGTCTGGTTATATATTGCGTTGGATTGTCGCAACTGATCTTAGGCTCCATAAGGAATCTGAAATTGAAGTAAGGGTTAGACAGCCCGAACATTGGCACTGCGCCATGCAAGTCGTTGCCGAGGAGATTACGGCCTCTGCGTCTCCCAAAATTGATGAAATAGAGCGCAGACTCCCGATCTTTGTCGACAGTCAGTAGGAAAAACCTCGCAGCTGCAATAAGTGGCGCAAGCCAACCCAGAGGAGCATCATAACTCGTTTCACTTGTTGAGTTGTCGAACTGGAGAGCGGCCCCAAGTGCGTCAAAGCATTCGGCAGCCTCGTTGATATCGACCATGGCTGGGTTCGCCCAGCTTCCTAATACTCCCCCAAAGGCGATAAGTTGTAGTTCCTGAATAGTTATTCTGTCGCTATCTTCATCTGAAGACTTCTTTATCGTAACTGGGTCACCATAGAAGCGCAAGTGAGAGAGAGAAATAGACCAGCTGATGCCACTGGTGTTTTCGCCTTTCTGCTCCAGTCCAAGAGTAATGATGCCCCCTTTTTTGACGAGAGGATCATGAAACGAGATGAATTGGTTTGGAGAAAAAACATGAAGGTCAGGATAGATATGCCACGACATGAGTCCTAGAAGGACTACACTGTTGGTGATATCCTGCGGTACACCTTGGATGGATTTCTGGATCGAGGTCATGGCAACAATCCAGAATTTGTAAATATCCTTTTCTACCTCGATCGGAGGGATATTGTTGAGAATGAGCCGAAGCTGCGTTGTTTCCCACTTCTTTACTTCGGTCGCTATGTCAAGCCAGGCTCGTGCACTGGCATCCCACGCTGCCAGGTCGTCCCTGGTGATTTGGTGGCCATGTTGAATTGTATAAAGAGCTGCCATGCCATGAATTTGACTTGGATCCGCCTTCGATTTCAACTCTTCTAGTCGGGACTCGACCAGCTGGACCCAGAAGGCTGTAGCTTCAGCGTCCTTGAGCATGCGTGCCAACATACAAGCCAACAAATGTAAAGCTATGACGCTGCTTCCAGAGGATGCTGCGGCGTATATAGAAGTGCCGTCTACGCCAGCGTATCTTGAAAACGGCCCATATTCTTCATCCTGCAGCGCAATTAGCAGGCCGCGCCTAACACGACTGATGGGATAAGCATTAGCGATGGGCCCAAACCCACTGTCACTCACCTTCAAGTCTAGCTGACGAGATGCCGCGATCTCCGATACCCTTTCACCGTACACAGCAGCTAGCACCTCAATATCGGGTATAACTTGCTCGAACAGCGCCCCGAGTCTGCGCGCCGTTCTATGCTGAGGGCCCCGCTCAGCATTCTCTCGCCGGTGCGGGGAGAGAGCCTTGCCCAAGCCTTCGAACTGCTTAGGAACCTCGACCTTGACGAGGGAAAAGTCCACGCTGAGATTAGCAAGTCCAACATGATTCTCGTTCTTGACCGAGAACATCGAAGCATCGAGTTGGGGAGGCATTATACGAGATTCTCCATAGAGCGATACTATTTGCGGCTAGAGTGCAGAGAAGCATATACAAACAGACTTATGGCTCTTGTGACTAGAAGGGTGGGGAAGGGGCCAAGTAATAACCAAAGTAAGCACAATTAGAACGGAGCGTTCCGTCATGATCGCATAAAAGAGGGTTGGTCTTCCAGCGGCTGCTCGGGGATCTTTACTGGTGCGGGCCAACCTTGGTCTTGCACAATCCAATGGGTGCAAGACTGGCCGGTCACACTGCGCAAGCTTGCTTACCTGCATTTTCAGCTACCGCACTATTGACCCGTGGCGTCCAACCAGGTAACGATTGACACATGCCGAGTCGTACGTGTCTCACCAAACCCCCTCCGTCTTGCTCAGTGCGCGCTTAAGCGAAGGGGGAGGGGATAGCTTTCGAATAGAGCCGCCAGCACTATAAAGAACAGTACAATGGCTTCTATTTGGTAATCGAATAAAGGGAACGGAGCCGGACTTCAGAGGTGACAGTAAAGACCTGTTTTGTGCCGCCGGACAGGGGGGTTGAAAATTGTCATCAGGCTGGCGGCTAACCTAGACCTCCATAACAGCGCGACGCCAATCATCTGTCAGATTTCTCGTTCAGAGATGTGACGCCAAGCAGAGGTGCCTGCTGAAAGATGCCGATCTTTTTCATTTTGGATTGGTGGTGGCCTCGTTATCAAGTGCTCCTATGTTGTTTCAACAGATGACCGCATCACTTTTCATGTCGCGATGACTAGCTAATTGGATGATATAGTAAAAACAAAGTGAAAGCGCCCGATGAGGAAAAACACGGATACCTTCGGGCGATTAACGACTATAAAGATAATTCCGATATCTGTATATATCGACTACTTGGATAGTCAGATTTATAGATGCAATCACGAACTCACCAACTTCCTAGCCGTCCACTTGGCGCACTTTCTGCTACAACACCATCTTCCCTCTCCCGGCCGACCCAAAAACCTCCTTTACGACCATGAAACCCCACGTCTCAGTCTTTGTACACACACTGTCCTGTCATTAGCGTGTTGTGACTTGTGAGAAGGCCTAGATGTACTTACTCCTCCTTCTTGCTCTCCCTGGTATTTCAGACATTATGTTAGTATTGGTTATTGACGTATGGGGATGGATAGTGATTTACGTCAGATTGGGCGTAGGGATAGCTACAGCGGACCCAGCTTGATAGGTCCGATATTCATTGACCCAGTGGATGGCTTTCATCATTGTCGACCAGGATGAGTTAAGCCTTACAGGTTATAATATCTAACCTAAGGAATGGCAAATGCTTGGCCTCTTAAGTAGTGGTCTGCCTTGCGCAATCGTGCCACTATGTAAAATCATTGCGGTGCATAATTAGGCCTTGGCATTTTGGAGCTGAGATGCCATTTTGACCGTTTATAGATATGACTTGCAATTCGCGGTTGCACTTTTACCACACTGACGGTTTCTACTCCTAGGTAACTTCTCCAAAAAGGGTTCAGCCACAGTGCACTGTTTTAGGTGGGCTATATGAAGCCGGACATTGGGATTTTAAATTGACTTCACCTCTCGAGGTTATGCTTACATATGCAACTTGTTATTGGCTTACAATGTCAGTGATTGTGTGAGCAACTGCCCTGCTCTATTGCATCCTCGTCGAAAGATGTGGACATATGGGGCAGTAAAGCATCAGGTCAATCTAAGTCTTGAGACAGAGAAATCTCTGCGTTTGTCTACAGCCTCAATGGAGCCGACCAATACGTCAAGTTCAATGCGAGCAGAAACACCAGAACTGTTTACCATTCCGTTCATAACTGCTTACTATAAGTCTAGTGAAGGCTCATCATCATCACCGTCATCACTAAGTGTAGATTCAACAGAGTTAGAGTTGTCAATACACAGCACCGTCTTCCATTGACGTGACAAGTTTCTATACAACAACATCCTCGCCTAACCAAGCCCGAAGGGTGACTGTTTTTAACGTCCACTTCGTTGAAAATAGTCGATAGACAACGCTAGCCAGTAGACTTTGAGGGAATGAATATGATATGTAACCAGCTTTGACCCTAAGATTAGATAATTACTGATAAATCAAAGGTTGGATCTAAGTTTTATAATACGGTCGCCTATTATTGTAGTTAAGTGTGACAATCTGACCCTAGCATTGGGTTGAGTAGTTAATAACAAAGCAGTGTTGCTTTTTGGTCAGAGGTATAGTTACTGATTCCAGATAAAATCATACCTCTCTATTCTCTTTAATATAGAAAACTTATAATATAAAGTGTTGTTAACTACAGCGGTCGTGGTAACCCGTTGGGAGGGAAGCATTGAGAGCGTTGGTGAACATCAACTCTGGCAAATTGAGTTTAGGGATTAATAATATGGCACTTTGGGACTAAGATCCTAATCTTACCTTTTGTATATGCCGCCAAGTTACCAAGCTCCCTCTGCTGAATTAAGCTCTCAGCCACAACTATCTACTGCAAAGGACACATCTAGCTAAAAACTTCGACGATATCGCTTGATCGCGCGCATCATCAATATCCTTTGATCATGTGGCGAGCGAGAACTTGGATGAATCTGAGTCTGGATCTGGGACTTCTGTAATGGCTTCATAATGTGAGACACTTTGTCGAGATTTGCGTCTTGCTGATTGAATTGAGCGTGTGTAATGTAGTTGAATCATGATTCACAGCGGTTGCCATTGAGAACTTATCGTAAAAATGCCCATGAAGCAATGCTAGAATGCCAACTGCAAAGATAAACATAGCGCAAAACTCTTACATATGCTTCAGCTTGGGCATGGAACTGAGCCGTGCACGCATCATTAATGAAGTCTAATTATATACATAATAAGGGCTTTTGGCTCCCTCGCTTGTCATACACGTTACATTTCCTCCAACGCCTAAGTCTAATAACCGAAACCCTATACTTTAAAAGTCTGACTGACTGCACTTTTCCCGCTCGCGCTTCGAGTATCATCTGGGCTCAATCGCTCGTGGGAAACGCGAATGTGAGTTACCAGCTCGATCTCATCATCTCTCACGCCCCATTTAGCGTACTGCGATGCAGGGGTCTCGGCGTTCTGGCCTCTTCCGGTGATCTTTGTTTGAACGCCATAGCCGCTGGGTTGGTTCGACGAGGAGCGATTTGTAGATGATTTCGATCGCATAATAAATCGTCGAAGGCCAGGGAGGCACACGACTATCACAGCGGTGCTCATCTCGGCGAGAGACAAGGTATCTGTACACTAAATCAGCCGAAGAATATTATACAGCAGGGAAGAAAGACATACTACCAGACTGGTCGTCAAGCTCAAAATCAGTGGCATTATAGGCAATAAACCGGGACAGGCTGACTATCAACGTGATAGCACCTAAAGAGAAGATACCAATAAGAGCGATCTTTTGTTTTCGGTGGAGTTTGAGATGTTTGAGCAGAAAGAAGGGGTAGAAAAAGACTATTGGCGGTCACGTTAGATGGATTCTTCCCAGTGGGTAGTAGGCATTAAACATACTTAATAAATCCGTTGAGAAGTTGAGACCCCACTGAATACAAAAAGAAGCATAAGAGTTCCATGCCGACTTGAGCTGGTTTTCGATGGACCTGGTATCTGTTAGTTGAATGATGAGACGAGAGACGTATTCGACTTTACCAATTATCAGAAAAAGGTAAACAGATAAGAGTGTTCACGAGCACCGATACAAGTAAAGCGCAACCAAGATAAACCGTAATCGCAAGCAAGACGCGTCTCAATGACCCGGAGATCCCAGGGATTAGTTTCCAATAAAACAGGATAATAGATATCTTGGGAAAATAGATCCCGGTATCGAAGAAGTACTCTGCAATTAATACTATCTGCACTTGGTCAGCTTTATAATTCTTTCACCCGGCCATACAATATAGTACCTTTAAGTATTCTACTGAATTTACTACAAGTTCAGAGCCGATCGCAGGGTTATCGATAAGAATTCGAAGTGCAAGAGTCGAGCAGATAAACCATCCGAGGCTGAAAACCCAACCTAGCCAAGCAAGAATATCAGGCATGCTGAATAAAGCCTGCTTCATTAAAAAGTTGGCCCAGCATCGTAGGACTAGTACTACTAATGCTAAGATAAGCAGCACTGCTTGAATACCCTGGAAAAAATTAGTTACGAAAGAAGAAACGAGAGGAAAAGGCAGAAAATTACAATAGAAGTGTTGGTATCCATTGAGACGCTCGCTCGGTAGAGCGACCCGAGTCTTTGGTTCTACAGCTAAACTGAGAAGCAAACAAAGACAGGATTGACATTGCTTGGCCGCAGAGGTGATAAAAATGGATTGGGGGGCATGCAGTATATTTAACCATCAATGTTTAGCTTAAAAGTTACCAATCAACAATAGAGCTTAAAGCTGGGCTAAACGAGTCAGGGTTAGGAGGGGACGGGGCTCGAGCACTTGCAGATAACGTGGCGAACAACGATAAGAGAGATCAAAAAAGCCCAGTTTCATAATTTCAGGAGCTGAAGATATCCACTGCCTTGAAAATTTCGGAATTTATAAGCTTAACTCCCGCGGACTTGGCATCGAGCCGCGCGAATGCCAAGCGAACTAGCTACGGTTCTGGAAACACTACAGCGTTCATAATAATGGTGCTTATTCCTGTCAAGTGCTGGGGCGCTCATGTGTCTCTAGTCATGTTCAAATTCTTACTTCAAAAGACCACTAGAGATCAACACCACGGCATGGGATTGGTGGGTTAAAAATTGAACAGCATCCGGACTCCGTAATGAACAACAAAGCGCAATCCACCAACAGCCACGAAAAACTGTACCCGAGACAAGGTAGCTCGAATCTGGGTTAGATCAAACCCCAACTAGTCTAGAGTACGCGGACTTCGCGAATCGCAATTGTTGCATGTGCAGTAGATCATGTAGATTCCGGTGGCTCCGATGCAGAATCAACCTGAAAGGCGAGCTAATTAGCGCGAGTTATGCTCTAGACTCTAGTTAGCAGCAACG